CGTCACCTTCTTCAGCCTCTAAATCAAAGAGCACCAGTGTTCACACTCAACTTTAATGAACTGCTGTTGCTTGCGCTGCAGGCTGTTTGTATCTCAGCAACAGGCGAGCCAATGAGGAGTGGGCTGACATGTTATGATAATCCGTTTCATCTGGCCATCTTGAGTGGCGTCTTGATTTGGAGATTTCTTTCCCTGGCAAACAAACAAGCATAAACTCTTAAGACCTCGGTGACGACCAGCAGTATGTGAGGCGGTTGAAGTGACCTTTTATGGAGAGACAGATTTGATACGGATAAAAAAGAAAGGGACTTTGGAATATACAAATATCGTCCTGAAAGCAGCTATTGTCGTCTGAAAAAAGGAGAAATTATGTTTTCGAATTGTCCCCTTCGCTGTCTCTGTAAAAGTGTCGCTGATATTGTAACAATGGGCCATTTTGATATGTCTACAGTGTAGCCTGAGGCTTAGTGTTGGTGTTACAAAGATAAAACCTGAAGTTAAATCCCGTCTGTCTGGTGGTTAACAATGCAACGCCTGTCTGAGCCAAATCTTAAGGTAAGGCTGATCTGCTGCAGGAAAGAGGTCATCGTTTCATCTTCTAAACAACCTAATTAAATAACCATGCTTCAGGTAACGAACGGATAACGGTCGTTGCAGATTTACCACGCAAAATGCAGCTACACCAAAACAAACCGAAATCTGATCATCTTCATTAATCAGATTAAACAGAAACTGCAGGCCTGTCTCACTGCTCGCTCGTCTCATGCCGACACAAAGCTCTTCAAAATAATGCAAAAACCATCCGTGTAATTATGAAGACACTCAGAGGAACTGATGGAGCAGAGCCAGACGGTCGGCACAGGGCAGATGGAGGTGGATGGAGGTGGACTTTTGCTGCCTGAATCTAACCTGTAAATACACAGCGGTACTTTGAATAGACACCATTCATGTAACCGGTGGAATCTGACGTCCCTGTCTTGTCCTAACCTGCCACTAGAGGAGAACCTAGACCGTCATAGTATGAAGCTCAGGGTCACTGGCCGAGCGTCGGGGCATTTCAATCCGTGGTGAGTGCACACACATTGTTAGCTTTCTTAGCTAGTCTGCCTGTAGAGCAACTGCACTGGCTGTTTGGAGCAAATAAACACGGAAAGAAAGAAATAAAAACAGGCTTCATTGCCTGCAGGTGGCGCAAGAAATATTGTGCACGCCAGCTCCCATTCATGGCTTCATCGGTCACTGGAATGGAAACATGCTATTGAAAATGTTTATAGTAACATCTGGGCTTTTTCCTGTTATCCGTGAAATGTTAACTGTGAAATAATCCTTGAGGTGCTGTAAACAGTAACTGCAGGTCCAAAGCTACGTTTCACATTGTGATCCATTTGGGATATAACGTTGCTTAAGAGTCCAATAAGTTTTGTTTCACTTCTTTAAATAAAGTAAAGAAATCCATCCTTGAAGATGGATATCACTGTAGCGTGAAGTGCTAAACTTTATGTTTTTTTTGAGAGATTATATGTAAGATGTCTTAAAATAGCCTGGAAAGTATGAACTCCCGCAGCCACAAACCTTTCACTGCCACTCCACCATCTTGGTCTCTTTAGTAATATTCTCATGGAATCATTATAAGCTATTTGGAGCTTGCTTTTCAAACAATAACAGTATTAAAACCAGTGAGCAAAAGAATAATAGTCGAAAAAAGCTCTTCATGAGAGATGGAGAGAAAACAGCTATAATGTCCACCTTTGGATTTTCCTACATGCACTTTTACGCTGTAGAGCAAATCTTATTGTCATTCATCCAATTCACAAACGTTTGCTGACCATTCACACAACCTGGTCTGATTCTTTCATTAGTTATGGGGCTCCCGGCGAGTCTCGACACAAGTCAGGGTCTCCAATTGTCTCTGTCCTCATTTGCCCTCCGTGAGTAATGATGATGGTGAGCACTTCGAAGGATGTCCTCGCGTGGCTTCGCCCGTCTGTACACTCATTGAAGCCAGACCCCAGGACAGATGGTGGCAAGGCAGAGTGAGTGAGAAAAACCTCTGACACACACACACACCTTTGTTGCCTGCCAAAGCATCAAAAGCTGCTGTGAACAATTGTCTTTATTATTCCTATTGAGTGATCAAAACTGGGCGGACCCCGTCTTGATGAATATAACTACATATTATGATGCCTTAACTATGTGGTAATTCAAAGCAGATCCTGTGCAGAGAACGGTGCAGTCAACATACATCCGTGCTGGTTTTGTTTGCCAGTAATCACCAGCCGCATGTTTCAGGAGTAGAAAAGGTTAACGGGAGGTTCATGCATTAACTAAAGACCCTAGGAGGAGAATCAAAGCGCTGCTGACCTCACAAGGTCGCTGTGCACTCAACAGTGTTTAATTGGATGTGTTTTCTGCGCTGAGTTGTCTCAGCAGGATACTGCTAAAGCAGTGGGATGAACATCAACTGGCAGCGTTTGTGATGCTGGACAGGAAGGTGAAGGAAAACACTGAGATCTTCAAGCAGAGGGAAGAGTAGGCAGGAAACTGGGACTGGGACAACATTAGCAAAGTTGCTCTGCAGAACGTGATTAGTTGTGAAATTGTTTTTGTTTTTTAACATCAGTTTCAAATGTTGGCTGCGTCAATTAACTATATTTATATTGAATATTCGTACTCCAAAACATAATGGCGTAGTTAATTATCTCCATTAATCATTTTTAACAGGATCCCAGCAGGAACATCCTGGGAAAGATCAGCAAGCTCGTGCTTTGTGATTTTTCCAACAGCCCGACCAGATGTGGAAATGTTACAGTTCTACTTCAACACGATGAAAATTGTAATGAAATACATTACATAAATTATATACAAAAAAGATAAAGGGTTGGGTTAATTTTACAACTTGAAGAAATTCCAATTTCTCAAGAAATGTATCTCTTTTGTGATTTGATCCCAATTAAATTATTATTACGTTATGTGATTACTAACCAAGTTAATACTGTGCGTGTGTAACAGAAGGTAGCTAGAGCTCTTCAATTACATCAGGAATCAGGAAACATTTATTGCCAAAATATGTCAAACATACAAGGAATTTGTCTTGGCGATTGGTGCGCGACAGTAGACAGTGTAACAATAGACAACAAGACAGCAGTGCACAAGTAATAAAATAAAATGAAATGCTAATGCAATGGGTTAGTAGAATAAGGCTATGGGTTAGTATAAAACAAGAGAATAAAGTAAAAAAATTAAAAAGTTAAAATATTTTAAAAGTTAAAAAATATTAAACATAAACATACAACATGGTTTCCTTCTTCAATCACAGGCATGAACACATGAGGGTCTTTTTGTCTATTTCCCTAAAAAGGAAAAACAGACGTATAGTTTCCTCTCTTTACAACAGTGAAATGTTTCCTGTAATATATCCCCAGGGTGGTTGGTGATGTGTGAAATATTTGTGCCTAACTTGCAGTGAAATCAGAGCCTAATTAATAAATCCCTTTTGTGTTGAAAGGAATAATCTGGACAAGTTTAAAATGTACTAGAAAATGGGTAAAAATTAGGATGAAAAAGAGGCTTTTTAAATGTTTTACAGGAGTTGTAAACATTTGGACTTCCTACTACTTTACATATCTGCCAATTCCAGCCGCTTTTGAATTGCAGATATTTGATTCAAATTTATTAAATTATATTTATGTGAAAAATGGTTCCCTTCATACTTATTTCATAATATTTGATGATCTTCTTTAAGGGATACAGTGTGTAAAGAAATTAATTAAAAGGGATTTTCATATTTCTCTCCTATCCTCCTCCTTTTTCTTATTTTACCCTTTCTTACACCAATATGAAACTGCACAACCCCCTTCTCCCCTTCCCCCACTCCTCTCCTCTTCATTATTGCCTTGGCATAGTGAGACCCCCTAGTGAATCCTGGCATCACACTCTCGTTTCAAAGGAATGAAAATGCAGCAGTGGTCGGTGCCATCGGTTTGCCCCGTCCCTCCTTTCATCTGCCTGGACATATTAAGACAAGAAATGTGAAGCTCTGCAGCACATGAATCAGTCTAAGCCCCCCAGTGAGAACGTGTGCTGGTCATTTCAGGTCCCGCTTCAGACGAAAGACAGCGAGCCAGGGAGCAGGATCGAGTTGGACGAATGAGAGGCAACAGACAGACACAGAGAGAGAGAGAGAGAGGCATGCGGCCTGCTTTTGAGCACACAGCATTTATTGCTTTAGCTTATGTCATATTTAGGTGAGAATGTGAGATTGTGTCTGTATGGTAGGAATGCAAGCTATCACTCGACTACACTATCAAGCACCGGTACCCTCGCTTATCGGCACGTCTTGTTTTAATGGTTTGCACATATGAATGACGTATCGACGTATGTTGCCTACAGTGCTGCTCCTGCAGCAGCTCGCCGCTCTGAACTCATCAGCCTCTCCTGGCTCACTTCCACTCCATCACACTCTCACAGCTCCCACCTGCTCCCACCACCTCTTTCCCAACCATTCGCTCTGGTTAGCTTTGGCGGCTAGCTGTTATGCTACAGCAGGTGTGATGAATCAACTAGCCGCTGCTCTTCTTAGGCGCATGCAACATGTTTCTAATATTTGTTTGGCCAATGTATAGCCTTATAATTTAAATTGTGTTCAGATGATTGCTGAGCCTCACCCTATTCAATTAAAGCAATGCCAAACGTAAAACTATTGTGTTATTCAGTCCCGACTCAGCATGCTGCCCTCAATCAGTTATTGATCTTAGCTTGGGAAGCTTCCAACATTCAGAATGGATGTTTTTTTTATTTCATTTGGGATTAATCAACCAGTTCAACAAATGGTACATTTATTTGCCAATATGGCAAAGGGCGAGGTGTTTTGAATGAGGGCTTTGGAGCAATGAAAGGGAGGTTAAGAGGACCCGTGTTTAGCCGAGGCAGAGATAACTAGGAAAGAAACAGGCAAAGGGTCTACAAAAAGATGCTTGTAAAGGCGAGGGAAGGAAGCCAACAGTGTTCAAGGGGCTCTTTAAACACATTTAATGAGGGCTACGCCTGGCAGTGAATTACAATATACAGATGAAGGTGAAGGAGAGTAAAGATGTATATATACATGCACAAATACAGTATCCCGAGCCTCAATGGACACATAATAAAAAAATTGCTGACATTTGCTCATTGTGCATGATTGGTAACTGGTGAAATCCTGCTGCCTGTTTGAAAGAACATTTAAATTAAACACAAAACCCAGGGCCAAAGTGAGTGATCTATTTAAATTGTGCCTTCTTATTCCTCTGACAAACTGGTTAATTGCAAAGCTGGCGTACGTTATTATGTCTGATAGCAGAAAGGTCTGAGGGATAAGGTGTCACATACAGTACTAAAACACGGGTCCACATCAACTCCAAAATGTTGATTTAATTGCTGTGCCAGTACATCATCACGTGTTTTTTTCTTTCCATTTTTAGAAGAAGTTGCTTCAGACAAGTAAGAATTAAGTTTTTCCAAAAGAGGAAAGTGATTTACTCAAATAATCCAGTGTCTCATAAGTTGTATAAGACTAAAGATAATGTTGTATATCTTCAACACAACAGAAAAAAAATACTTCTCCAAACATGAGTTTCAGTCTGGCAAAAGCTGTTGTTGATGCCCTCTGCCTCCTACACAGAACTGAGAAACCTTTTGTGCAAATCATCAGATCCCGACAGTCTGGTTACATAAGCAGTCAACACAAGTCCACTTTCAATTTGCAATTCCATATTTAATGTGTTTGTGGAGGAGGTGAGAGTTTTTTTTCAAGGAGTAAACACCTACCTACGTACCAACCAATGTGTTGGAGCTCGTCTGGAAGGAAAATAAGAGAGCCATAAGGAAAGATGCAAACTCAGAAGTTTAATTCCTACAAATTGCAGTTATTAGTTTATAATGCAATTAACTACATTGCTTTTATACATTGTTTTACATCAACCTTATTTGAATATTCTGCTTTTGCTATAGGCAGTGGAAACAATTCCACCAAAATTGTAAAGTACTCAATTGCTAAAAGTCGTTGGTGCAAAGAGGCTTTGTTTGACCCCACAGTCCCTCCACACCAACCGCGAGGCAAAAAGAATTGTAATAAACAAGATTCTGTTTGGCTAAAAGACGGAGTTAACAGCTAACTTCAACTGAGCATCATTCAAGCTCCATTTCATTGGCACTACTAGGCCAAAGGTATACTATTGTATGTTTACTATTGCTAATCCCAAATTCTGCATGATTGAGTTGTTGATAGGTGCAGACCTAAATGTGTCTACTATAGCAGCTATATTGACTCATGCACATTGGCTATTTATGTGTAAAATGAATGGATACCTTTAAAAACCAAAACAACATACTTTAGAACATACTGCTAAAGTACATTTTTTGAATACTGTTGTTCACAATGTTGGACCTCCAGAATCTTTCCTAATGCAGAAATGACACACAACATGTTCAACCGATCTTATTAGTTTGCACGACATCCGGCCAATTTTGTCTGGCCAACTAAATGATGTGTGAAGTTGTGATGAATGAATCGGATACAAATAGAATTTCTTTGATCAAGAGGATGTAGAAAACAACCTCTTTATCTTCTAATGTTGTATATGAATAACATCTGTAGGCCAATCAGTTTGTTTCTCAATTACTACACAGAGAAGGCAATAAACTACAGATGTTAAGCATCAACATCCTTCCCTGATGAGTGGCCGTAGTCTCTTGAACTACAGTGGGGTTGCACAGTTGTCTGATTGTAAGTATCATCATCATCCTCATTTTGGATGTCATTCAGGAGTATCACGACTATATAATATACCCGTGTCATGCAAACATAAAGTGGGATTTAATGCTGTCGTGCATTACAGTATTTTCTTTGCCTTGGTTGCCACGGAAATGAAGCCCATTTTTTGCATCCATGCCAGTCGTTAACATTTTTCAATATAAGTGGAATAGCTTTGCCTACTGTTTATACAACAAGTGTGTTTGATCTATATGCATGTGTGTCTCTTGATTGACTGTAATCCACTGCGTCTGCAGCCGTTCCTCTCACATATTCAGACATGATATGGGTCCAACTTGACACTGTCTCCTCTCAGATCTTGCTGGTTCACATGCTGTGTGCAGGCTGGAAGCAAAGCAAACTAATGCCGAGCAGAGAGAGAGAGAGAGAGAGAGAGAGAGAGAGTCTACACAACGGCTGGCCTCAGCCGTGTAATTGTAGTTTTCATCCGCCAAGTTCAGATGAGGACAGACTGGTTACACTTGCAGCCTTGAGACTACCCACAGATTTCTGGGAGGCAGCAGACGGGAAAGAAGGAATAAATTCAAACAAACAAAATGCATCCAATGTCTGATATTACACACATTTAAGGCTTGCATTTAAGTCTACGGGCCCCACTGGGGACCTTTAGAGCTCGTCAACCCATAGGGAAGGATCACGTATGGAGTTACACATCAGAGCAGGACAAAGGGCTAAAGAAGAAGAAAACGTTCATCTGAGACATTGATGCTTCTCCATGGTAATTGTGTTGACACATTAATGGGCAAAAGGCTATAGGCTCTGGGGAAGGATGGCCTGGACATAATGAGAAGCATGTAAGTAAACTCAATGAGAGGCATAACATATGAGGGGGGCTCCTACGTGCTCCGCATCCGTAAGGGCCAGCATATGTGTGAACCGCTACATGTTAGACTTTGCTCTGTCCCTGCAGATCAACATCTGCGCTCACATTATGTTTATCAGATGATGCTAAAAAAATTCACAAAAACGTTCTAATGAATCGCCTCACAATCGCGGAAGCTTGATGCATGTTAGCAGAGAGAAATTCCATCTGTGTTCCCCTTTAGGTCTCTCATTTACTGTGCACTGCTCCCGGAGGTTCCATAAACTATGCAGCGAGGCCCTCCTTCTATAGCCTACAGGATGGACGTCTCCGAGAATCAGGAGGTCGTTGACCTAAAACAGCTTTCCCTTGCCAAAAAAAAAGAACTTTTGAATGTCAGCCCGACCGCTTGCCCCACGAAGTAACCAGAAAGAGCCAGCGTGTACCCACCACGGTTGTTTTACTTTCGAACAAAAATACTTAGAAAAAGACTGTCTTGTGTATGTGGCTGAAATGACTTGCGTCAATAGGTTTTTGAATCTTTCATATGGGAATCAGATGCTGTCGAACGAGAGACGGTACAAAGAAAGCAATTATTAGCAGTTGTCTGGTACTCAAAACGATGAACGGCTCTTTCTTTTCATAACTTGAGTTTACTTTTGAGACAAAAGAGACATTCATCTACTTTAATTACTGACATTAAATTTCTCAAAGAGCTCAGTAATGATCGTTCTTGGTGCTAGCAGAAAAGCCTTGGGAGGCACAGAGGTTTGAAAGAGGACATGCTTTTGTGATTTACTGTTGCATCATCACAGTCTCGACTTACATCTTAGATGAAGTGATGCATTTCCAGTAGACGCTTGGGACTGGTAAAGACACTTTTACTGGAAGAAAAGAAAGAATGGTTAACAACCTAGTGACTCACTGAAGTTCAGTTGAACGAACATGACACTGATTCCTTTATAATGCAGTCGTTCTAGCACAGCAGCCGCTCTGTTAATGTGCGCTACAGTTCAACCTTTCATCCATTTCCTTTGCCAAGTTGATGAAATTACATTGTTTTTTCTGAAGCTCATAACATTCAATTATAAGCCTGGCAAGCTTGGTATAAAAGCATAAAAGATGAAAGCGGTCTTCTTTTCCTACCAAAAATAAACACTACATTTAAATGAAACATAAATACGTGTAATTCCTGTCAAGCAAATCGTTTTATATGTAAAATTATTTAGTTTTGCTTTTTTTTGTCCAATACAATACAATGTTCCACAATTTGGCTTGTCAACTGGCAGAAACGGTTCTAACAGAGGAAAAAGGTTGGAGGAAACAGGGTGTGGGTACAGGGGGGCTGGCACTATTGTTTTGCCCCATTTACCACCTGTGAAACGTTATTGCTGACCTACTCTTGCACTGGTTTTAACTACCGCTACAAGAGTCTCCAAGATCTGTAATATATGGGCCTGATTACCAAATAATATGTTTTTTCTGTCAAATATATTGTGGTTTCCCAGGATACCAGGATTGGAGTATGGAATAGTACTCATATCAAAACTCAAGGCTCATAGCTTGAAACAAGTTAGAAAAAATCTACTGTAAACACCGCAGGCCATGTGGTCACCGGGGCCCGGGTTCAAAGCAAGGGCTTAGTGTAATTCTCTAGCACAACAGGATTTGTATTAGTCCCAAATGGGTCGGTGAGGTTAAGAGCCGCTAAGTAGTAGTGTTTAAATCCTTCCTAAGCTCGGCCACCACAATGCCGGGCTCCCCACATTCCTCTGGACTCGTTTCACCTCAGGGTGTGGGCGGTGAGGGGAAGCTTTCAGGAAGATGATCCAGTGTTTCATTAAGGATAACCTTGAATGTTGAATGAAATATCACACAGCTCCCGTAACCCCCGAGGGTGGATGGTTTGGTCTTGGTGCACTGCTTTGACCGGCTTGTTTGGCCATGCTTGTTTACTACACTTCTAATCTAAAGGTCATCTTGGATTTTGACTCAAATGGCTTAACTGTATCGTTGGCTAGTGGGACTTGTCCTTTCTATCTGGAGTGTGCGTGTTCTTCATGATGCGTTTTTGCCTTAAAGAGCGAGAGAACTTTTCAGAACTTTGCAAAGCTTTTCTTATTAGTTTGTGTAGGACATCACATCTGCAAATTTTCCGGCACACATTTAAACAAACTTGCAAATAACGCTTAAAACAATAAGGGACGGCCATGCACAGTGTTCACTTATTGTGTTATTCGAAATACAAACCTGCATGGCTAATGTCCGTTTTAATTAAGGACAAATTTATTCGAAATGAACATTTCACTAGAAATTGGTATCAAGCACAGCAGGCATTATACCAATGTCCAACATATGAAGTAACTCGTATGTCGGCCTGGCTATAGACCTGCACCGTCTGCTTTAAACACTGTCACAATTGTAGAAGAATAAATGAATAGTGCAGCTCTATTTAAGTGAAGTCCTTATCATGTCAACTCGATTACACTAATGCTAACAGGGATTATTCTGTGACCCTCTATGTTTTTCAAATGTGTTCACAAAGCTAAAAAGCAAAGATCAAACTATGGCAGTGTTGTCAGATCAGTTGCTATGACGATTTGCTACAATTGCTAATCTTTCTTTAGTTCATTAGAATATCCACTTGTGAAACGGTGCAGTACATGAGTCCAAGAGACATGAGCTTCAAAAATATTGTACTCCTTGAATGAAAGATACTTGTAATGCTGGTCTCTGTATTGCGTCCTCCATGAGGTTATGATTTACCCAGTTATGATTTACCTCGGATGAACCATGAAGTATTTGGCTGCGTGTATGCGTGGGCTAGAGAGGGAGAGCGAGAGGAAGAGACAGACACTTTTTCCATACAATCTTGTTATTACTTGAAGCATTGGTAATATTTTCTTTGCTACATTTATGTCAATAAAGCATATCAAATTTGATTAAGAGCACGAGAGGAGGACGTGGAAAGATCGAGGTCGAAATAGAGAGAAATAGAGAGAGCGAGAGAGCGAGAGAGAGAGAGAGAGAGAGAGAAATCTGAGCACACTGAGCAGCGAGAGGTTGATTTACAATCAGGGAATGTCTGTTCATGCCCCTGCGGTTCTGGTGATGGCTCTATTGCATAAAAGGAGGCAGCTTTGGTGCTGTGAACTTAATTGGAGTTCTGAAGCACCACATATTTATTTACAGATAGCTTGTCAATGCATGCCTGGGATAATTCGGACAAGATTTTTACTTTTGAATGGGCTACCATATCCCTTAAAAATATCAGCTTTTCTGTACATATTCAACATGGTCATCAGACATTATTGCAACAGGAGAGTGCAAAAGCTTCAATGAATGTGAGTCTCAGATTAAACCTGCAACAAAAGCAACATTCTGGTTCAATTATAAATGCATTATTTTAGTTCATTTTAAATGGTCGAGTGTGGTGAGAAACAATGTAAAGACATGCTCAACTTTTTGGTCACCCGTGTAAAAATTCTCTCTTACTCGTGAATTTTCCTCAAGGATGCCAGTTCTGTGGAAGACATTTTAACTATCTAAGGATCTTTTCACTGCAGTGATACTGCATAATTTTGTGTGGAAAGTTACAAATCTAAGTTAATCCTTTACCACTAGCACATTACGTACAGTTAAATCTAAGGCACATCTATGCGTCACAAAAAAACAGCGACTTTGCTAATTTTGTGGCTTCAAACCATACAGAGAGATCAGCAGCAGACATGGATGCAATAAAAGGAAATGTCAGAAAACAGCTTGCATGTGGGAGGAGAGCATGCTGGGTAATTATTAGTCAGTATGTTGAACATTTTCTATCGCTGTATTTGAAGATGTTAACAATTATCTGAGGAAAAGTACTTGGGATTCTTTTGATATACATGTATTCCAATGACGTAGCTGAGAATTAAAGTATGTGGACACGACTGCGTCAACGGCAGGGAATGAAGACCAAATCGTTTTATTCGTGGAATAAAAAATTAACATAACACAAATACATAAATATATTCAGCTGCTACTTTTTAATTTCAATAGATGATAAGCACATTTTTTTTCAAAATAAAAGCCTACTAGAAAGGGAAACCTGAATAGAAAGAATAAAAAGCCATTTTTAACATTTGACAAGACAAATCCTTTGAATATTTGGCAATAGCCTCGTCACGCCTAAGCTATTCAGCCATAAATACACCCTAAATACTTTAAAGAAGAATCCATTCTACCATCCAAACCACACTATTCCATGGGACAGGTCATAGGTAGGGGGACTTCCAGTTGCTTAGATGTTTTTAACAGGGAAAATATGTTTTTTCAATTGTCTTCGCCTCATTGAATGATTAAAGATTACCATTACAGTGTATTACATTAGGTAGAGAGATTTTTCATGGCGACCTCCGACGTGCATTTTAGGTCTTGCAAATCGTACAATTCTTTGATGGACGAGCAGCGCGAGCAGTGTGAATTACAGGTTGTGATTTTGGCTGACGACACAAACTGTAGCTCGTACCAAGCAGAGACTGTCTATTTACAACAAATATATATAATTGAGGGAATTTGTCGAACCTGTAACTCACAAAGTGTAAAGTCAATTTGCAGATACTGTGTTGTCCTTTAGACAACTATGGAATTAGCCTGGAGTTGATGAGCAGAATGAATGTGCAAAATGTGTTGTGTCCTTCCAGTTACACTGAACGCCACCCCAAACAGCCACCCACTCAATGCTTCTATTTCTGTAGAGGTTAAGTGAGTTGCTGTCAAAGCACTGCCTCTCCTGCCCAAGGAGACAGAAATTAAATATCGTTCTGCTCTAATTTATGGGCTTAATGTCCTGGTCGTATCCAGTGCAGGAATCTACTGAGCAAAATGCTAAACAAAAGTTCAGCGTATATTTGGAAATACTAAGCGTAGCTTGTTTCATGTTTCAAGTGCTCATCCCGCGGTGCATTTTGTGCAGTTCTGCTGAGGATTTTTTCATTAAGTCACTCTGATAAAACTGTCAGTTTAAAAACACATCACAGTCTTTAAACCTTTCAAAGTACATTGCCTCCACCAACAGACATTTAGGGAAAAAATCTCCTGACATTCCACTACCTACAAAAAGCTGAAAGATATCACGAGGTTTCATCAAATAATGTAAAGTCTGTAAAGACCTAACCCATCTTGTCTGGTGATTTATTAAGTTACAGTGCATCCGGAAAGTATTCACAGCGCTTCACTTTTTCACATTTTGTTTTGCAAAAAACAGTTTTCACTTTGTCATCATGGGTTGTTGTGTGTAGAATGTTGAGGAAAATAATGAATTTAATCCATTTTGGAATACGGCTGTAACATAACAAAATATGGAAAAAGTGAAGCGCTGTGAATACTTTCCGGATGCACTGTAGATGTCAGCTCAAACATCTGCTTTAATCATACCCTATGAAAAGTATTGCCTGAAATACCATATATCCGCTCTTTAATTTTTAAACTGTCCTCAAAGTCAGACAACTTGATCATTTGAATACATAGTAACACTGCACATAGTTGAACTTAGGCTCCTAACACCACAAAAGCACACATCCAGCTTAAACCGGCAGATATTTGGTATATATGTGCAGCAAAGTGAAGCTGCAGATGACAGCACAAACTGACCATGAACCCACCACAGGGAAATTGTCCACTTTGTTTGAAGTGTGCACACAAATAAAATCATGCCGAGTTCCCCATGCAGCCGATATCACAGCAAATGTCTTATTTACACACTTTAAGTCAATGTAATTGTATTTCCCTCTCCAACATGGACATTCCTGGGGGGTAAAATGTGCCCCCGACCAACTCAGGCCTTCGTCAATCCAAAATATCCCCTCCAATAATCAGCAGCATGAAGTCATTATAATTACAAAGTGTTATTGTCAAAAACCCGAAATGGAAGCAATCACAATCCTTGGAAAAGAAAAGAAACAAAGAAACAAACAAAAGATAACAGCTTATTCATGTTGACGGTAAAGCACACAAACTTACACCACAATCAATTCGGCAAGTCATAACAAACAAAAACACACACACACGAACAGCAGATGGTTGACATCTGCAGGACTTTGTTTCCTGGTCTCAAGATGTCCGCGGTGCAGCTGGAAAGGAAAGCCCATCTCTCGGCTTGGAGAGTTCTTCGAGGTGGAAAGTCTATTTGAGGACGCAGCGAGTTACAGAACAACGACAGCAGACGCACAAGCCCACAGACCGACAGACCCACAGACGCACAGACCGACAGACGCACAGGCCGACAGACGCACAGACCCACAGACGCACAGACGCACAAGCCCGCAGACCGACAGACGCACAGACCCACAAGCTCACAGACCCACAGACGCACAAGCCTGCAGACCGACAGACGCACAGACCCACAAGCTCACAGACCCGGCCCCAAGCCAAGCAGGCCCATCTCTATTGTGACAGTTCCATCAGCAATGCAAAGTCTGTGTTGAAGATTTCCTACGATACGTCTCTGTCAATTTTCATCTGGACCATTGGTGATTCTTTTCTAATCTGATCAAGATGTGACAGATGACTCTGTTTTTTCAAATGTAACATCAATAAAGTCATTTGTGAAAAGCTGTTAGCAAGACGTGCTGTGAGCAGGTCACAGTTAAAAACCTATTGGGACTCTCAGACAAACTTCACCATCGTGCACTGATACATATGTATATGTGAAGCATATCTGTGGTAATCCTCAGCAGATGGAAACACATAGTTGTCAACGCAAGGATCGCAGTTCGGTGCCCCGGTCCGTGGTGCTGATAACAGATGGATGGTATTTTTGTCTCTGTGCAGAGATTGCCTCTGTCTTGATCCACTGACTTCTGGTCAATGACCTTCGATCTTTTCCTGGTCCACAGTGTCGTTCTTAGGGTGAGTCGGCTGCGGAGCTGAAACCGTCAGCGGGGTAATCTAATGGGCCACGTTGAGGCTTTAGGCTGCGGCTGCCACCCTGCCTTTCACCTCAGATGCCCTCTCCCTCCTTCTCTCATCTCCGCCTGCGTCCCAGGAGGGTGGTCCAGCCCCCGCAGTGTAACACCTCCCCCTGTAGGACGGCGGCAGGACTTCAGCCTGGGGAACCTAAAGCTCTTTCTGAGCGGATCCACCAGGTTGACAAAATATAGATATGGACTATTTTTCAAAATCCTGTGTGTGATTAGATTGGACCAGCTAGAATAATGCTAAAACTATAAGTTAACTTATGGAAGTTTTTCAATTCAAGAACACAAGAACTATATACCTTTGTCTAAGTGGTTATTATGCACCCTTTTCTTCCTCTTACATGTCGCACATGTGTTCCTCAGAGTGATGGACCGTGTGCTGCTGCTCGCCAACGCTATGTAACGTGTTTGGACTTACACGGTTAACAGTTGTCCCTCAGAGCGGCTTGGGCTTTGCAGACGATGTCGCATTTTGTGTGCGAGTTCCTGTTACTGGCAGCCTGTGATGTTCCAGATGGAGGCGAGTTTCCCTTCCAGCAGTCATCAGTCCTGGCCCCGAGCCGCCTGTGAGTAAGGTAGGGCAAGTGAGGACGGCTTGGCAACAATGCACTGCCACGCACGAGCCAAGGAGAAGCTGCAGGTATTAAGGTTTTTTTATTGTGTTTTGTTTTTGAATAATCTTTTTTTTAATCAAAAATAATAATTGAAATACTGTATTTCTCAAACATATTACGTGTGCAACAAAATCAGGTAATGAAATGAAAGATGTAAGGTAGTATGCCAGCATTTTCAGCATATTTTCATGTTATTGTTTTTTTTGTTGGCCCTTACATTATTTGTGTGTATGTGTGCAAAATGCTACTTTTTAAAGGATAAAGGTGCCATAAATGTATAGAACCTCAGAAGTCCCACTGGTCATAAACAAACATCACATACCACAGAGGCCGCGATCCCGCAGGAGCCAAACAGCCACTTTGACGTCGTGAAATGTAAGTATCTCCCCAAAAGCTACCTGTTAGCGGTGGTACGGAAATATTCCCAAACAGAAAACACGTTAATAACAAAGTAAACTGAATCGCATCCCAGCTGCAAGTTCGCTTTGGGTCATGGTTAATATGTGGCAAAATAGAGAGGCCGAAATTGCTTTGATAATCTTTCATTATCACTGAGGTCACAGCACATTATACTGCTCTACTTAGAGCAAATCGGCCGCTGCACCATCGAGCCTCTACCCCCCCACATTCCCCCTTCCAGGCTGCAGAGGACACAAAAACACATGCGGCACCAGCATTTGTACATTTGGTATTATATAGACATGCATCCCGATAATAACAATATACATACAGAAATATATATCTATAATCTCTTTTTGGTTTTGTGTATCTGTAGTTCATTCTCATTAAACATGGTCAGGGGACATCTGGTGCAATATGACAGCGTGATCCAGAGAGGAGTGAAAGGGGAGAGCCAGCACAAACACATATGGGGAACATGGTAAATCTAACGTCAAATAAATGCTAAATAACCGATTGTTATCCCGATAATGTAACATACGAAGGGTATCAACTAAACTGAACGAATGTGCTGCAAAACTACCACTGCTGTGTGTGTGTGGACATACAGACCAAGAGCAAAGATCTCTAAACACACAGAGAAAGGAGGACATTGAGTTCATTTCAGGGCCCCCGGCTCTGCTGGAATGAATAGGAGCTCAAAGAAGAAATGATGTGGCGATACATGTGATCGTATTGACTCGTCAGAACGTGGTAAGCATAATAAGCGCAAGTAGAAAGTGTTAAATGAACAACTTTCCTGTAATAAATTTCCATGACATTTCCATAATCCCAACTCTTTTAAATCTAAGAAGAAATTAGATAAATTAAATGTGAATATATTTGGAAATTATGCTTTTTTTTAAATTAGATATAGAATAGTAACGTCTTAACCACTCGGCCTTAGAGGCCACAACGGTTCCAATGTGATGGGATTACATTTCGGGTTTTTGCATGCCGAGTAGGCTCCACGGTTCACAACAAACAAACCCTGCATTCACCTAAGATGGTAAGGTTAGACGGTAATTATTTATATATCTCTGCAGTTAGAGAGCGCAGAAGATAATTATGGTTGTGGATTTATTGAGGGTTTTGCACACAGTCGATGCGGACATTCCTTGCGTTGCATGTCAGAACATCAAACAGGACTGCGCATGTTTAAATACCACCAAAGTATAGTCATGCCTCTTCCCCTCCTCTACTGGAGTAAAGGCCAGTTTACAACATAGGTACTTCCGGCCATCTGTGTAGTTCAGGGTTATTTAAGGCAAAAGACCTTGCGGAAATGAGTCTGGGAAACAAACAAATGTCTGGTTTCCCCGAAATCATCTCCTTCCAGAAACACACTCTCTTGTGCGCTCACCAATCCCTTGTGCTTCACCTTGGGTAACATCAAGGTTTAATAATCTCGCTGCACCGGGAGATAAGCTACCACAGCCAACTGTTACAGAAATCCAGGGCCAACGACATCAAAACATAAACACTCGCATTACTGAAACAGGAAGTAATCCATAAAGCACGTTGTAATACAAAATAGGATGATCCTTTCGTTCGCTACTTCTGAGAAAATCTGAGGTCTTTATCTTTATCTATCTAAGGGCTTCACAGGCTCTCAGCATTTCTAAAAGTGTAATCTGCTCATTGCTATCTATTATAATTATTTGGAAATCCATTCAATTGAAATCAAAGAGCTTTCTCCTTGTTGGTGTTCAGTGTGTGCTTCCAGGACCCAGTGATTTGTATGTGAATTAGTAGAGAAATTACTATTTTAATGGCCAAGGAAGCCAAAGGTGTTAAATAGACTATAATGTAAAACAGAGAAAAGCTGCAAATCATATTAAAGGAGGGGAAATTCAAGAATAAAAAAAGACAGAAAAACTGTATTTGTCATTCATTCATCATTTCAGCTCTACTTCAATGTGTCATTTTGTTATGTATAAAAAAAACAGATGAACCTTAAAGAATATATTGCCTGAAATCTCTCCTCAACCCCTGAGGAGCCACACTGTATTGGATGTTTTTAATATGATTTAAATATATGATTCAGGTTGCTGCGCCAGGATGTTGCTTTAAGTGAGATGTGCGTATTTTACCTCTTGCAGGGACGTGGAGATTTGTGACGCTGAATGCCGTCACCTGCAGGACAAGCGCTACAAGTGGTGTTTGCAGGTGTTACGCTCTGCATTTTTGCTGTGGACGATGGTTATTAAAATGTCCTTCTTGCAGGCATCTGGCTCCCTCTTGTGTTTAACGCAGCACACTGCCAAGACGTCACTGCTGTTAAATGCATTAAATCATTAATACGCCAACGTTAATATTCTTGCCTTATATTCATAATAAAGCAAATGGACGGGCGTTCTAATAATGTCGGTCACAAGTATCTTCCAAAAATAGCCATTTAAGATGTCAAGTAAAGCCAAAAGTGATGCATGTTTGAAAATATATATTCAAATAATCTCTTTATTTATCCTATATATTTGAACACCACTAAAGACAGTGATAGGAGCACACAAGGGGCATGAACATACGCCAGTTATATAGAGGGAAGAAACTTTGCAGATTTTCATAGTAAAAATAAGAACATTTTCTAACTCATAGTGACAATGAAACATCACATCCAGAACAGGAGAAATAAGACTGTATGTGCCAGATTGACTTTTTTCACTTGCTATTGATGTTTTATTCTGTACAGAGGGACAATTTGTACAAAATTAATCTAGATATATAACACTACATGAAACAAGATAAATCATATATACAATATTAAATGAATCATAGTACAGGTCACATACAAAAAGGACACTTTAAGTTGTCATGTTTTGGAAATATGTGAAATTAAAAGATCTGCTAAGATCCTGCAGAAAGAGAACAAGCCACCGAATGATCCTTAAATCATCTCGTTATCACGGACAACTTGTGTTTTCATCACTAAAATAAAACCTCAAACATCTCTTGACTCGAACTAATAAAATCTATAAAACATCTCTCCCGGCAAGCCGGACTGTTTTATGAACGCAATGAACTGGACAACCGAAATCAGTTTGGTGAATGGCATTCCTCCAGGGTAAAAGGTACATGTTTAACATGGTAGTTTTTAATTTACATCTTTTTGCATTCAAGCAAATACAGTATTAATACAGTTTCACAAGCCAAGTCACAATGTCAGTTTATTATCAGTTTCTGGCATTTTAGTGGCCGTTTGATACCAGTCTGTCTCGGGGGTCGGACGTCCTGAACGATCAGGACAAAACGAGAACAAAATAAAACCTGACATCCAACGCGACTTAACCTCCAGAGACGAGACGGAGGAACACAACACATCAAATATGAAGAACTCTGGCAGACCTCCCCAGTTTAAACAATGGTACTGACTGAAGATGTTTTCCCAACTTTTAACAGTCCTCCCTGAAAAAGGTCGCCACTCGACAAGACTAACTAACTAAAATTAGGAATAGTGGCACGACAAACATGCCACACCTTCGAACGTCAAGGAATTAATCTTCGATAGCTTTCATATTTTTGTATTAAACATTTAATGTCAGTATGTTAATAACTACTGAGATTACCAGCGCTTAAATTTAATAAATTAATCTTTAATTAGAGGACATTACAATTTTATATCATACACTCGTAACACCTCGCTGCTCTTTGAAAAGAAAAATAAATGACTTAAGAGCTGCTAGGGAAAAAAAAAAAAAAAAAAAAGTGAGATTTTAGGTGTCGAGATGTTATCGATCTATTCGTCCACTCCCATTCAACAACAAAAAAATAATCTGTCAATATACTTCCTTTACACAGATAAAAGATAATTTTACAGTAAATATATATATATATAATTTTAAAAAAAACACCACTCACCTTGAATATCTCAGACACACACTCTCCTCATCAGTATGCAGGCGGTGTGTGCAACAGAGGGCCCCCTTGCTTTATTTAAACCCTGGATAGTTGCTACGGCAACAAAGGTAGCAGACACTAACAGCTTTCACTCGGTTTCATCATTATGAACAGCAAGTACCATTGTTTAAACTGTCCAGTCATCACTGTGGTCTGGTTTTCAAATATTGCCAATGAAACTTAAGGGAGAGCAAGCATATAAAAGAGTTGCATATGGCACAAAAAAAAAAAAAAAAAAAAGGGAAAGTGTCTGATGTCCACAGGACAGCTTCCGCTTTCCTTGCCACCTTTCCTGGACATTGCAAGGCTAAGGACAAGTCTCAGGTTGGTCTGGTGTGCTAAACTTTAATAACCCCTAAAAACCTTTCAAACACTGACGACCAAAAGAAAAAAAAGAAAAAAAAAAAAAAAAAAGGCAAGTGTCCCTGTTGAAGTCGACAGACCAAAGAAACAAAAAAGAAAACCTATGGAACACAACAATCTTGGCACGGACAAGAGATCTGTTAGATTAAGCAAACAATTAAAAGAAATTCTTGTCATTTTTTTTGTCTTCCATTTGACCGGTTCTGATTTTGTCCCATTTGATGGAAAAGAAAAGAGACCAAAAGACAATCCTTAAAAAGTCACACACCTCCTATGGCTGCACGTCCAAGCCATCGCGTTGGGAATGAAGGAACCAGCTGTTCTGCATCTGTACTCCCAGGTTCCACATTTACAGCGAATGCAACGGGGGGGGGGGGGGGGGGGGGTGGATGGAAGGAGAAAGCAAGTCCAAGGGGAACCTATGGGGGTGAAAATATAAACCGGGCAACAGAATCAACGTTACCAGGACGAAAAAAGAAACACGACGCGGTTCCCCACACCTCTCCAAACACAGAAAAAAACCTGAGAAAGCAGAAATCTGAGGGGGAGGAGACATACGGCTTCCGCACTGGGGAAGCAGGAATGGTGGACAACGGAGACTCCTGGGTGAACTGGGAGTGGGAGGGAGGCGGGGATATCCCAACATCAAAAAAGGTGTAACTCTGGCGCCTGCAGGGCGAGGAGGATGTCCATGGCTGTGGAGGGGCAAAGGGCGGCCGGTTGAACAGAGAGTCGGCAGGAGGGGAGGGGAGGGGGTGGGGGGGGGGACCTAGAGTCCATCATTGGTGGTCAACATGTCTTCAGCTCTGCGGTGGGACTCCAAGGCTTTTGTGGTGTAGATATCCTGAGGCAACTCAGATTTGCGTCGCACCATATGCCGCTCTTTCCGCTGGTCATGCTGCAACTGTCGAATGGAGCGGAAAGGGGGAGGAGTTACAACGCGTCACATCGTCACCTCCCATCGACATCTTCTTGTTCCGGTCACGGCGCCGAGATGAAGCGTGGCGGCTCTAATTTACGGAGGAGCACCTAGATAACCAAGTTAAAACACGGCGCACTGAGACAGCCATGATGGGACTATGATTTTAAAAACACAACTTTAATCATGGACTAGAAAAAGAAAGCCCTTGACTCCAGTTTTCACCGCGTGATCGGATTTGTTTCCACATTTTATAGAAGTAGGTTGATTTTATAAAATTGAACAAAAAACACAAATGAAGACTATAATTTATATAGCAAGTGTATAATTATAATACATTCTAAAGAGCGTGTAGTGGTTGCAAGCTTTGGTAGCAAACAGACCTACTAATATAGGAGGGATTATGATAACAAAGAAATAGACAGAGAGAAATTCAGGTTTACCTGAGTTGCGCCCGCCTCAACTGTCTTTTTTAACCTCTGAACATCTTCTATCAAAGGGACATCCATCTCCATTGCTACAGGACTATTGAGGTCAGAGGAATCAACATACATAAAGAACTATGTTGAAAAGAAAAACACAAAAAGGATGGAGAAAATACTTTATGTTGCATGCAAAGAAGAGTGAATCAAGAAGCTCTGAGTGGATTCAAATGTGCAAATATGATATCTAGTATTAATCGGCACATTTTTACTTGTGATTTATTGGGCTTGAAGTGGCGATTATGAGAATGCAACTGTCAAACAATGTTAAGATCATCCGTTGCTGACTGCGTACTAAATATTTTGTGGAAGATTAATGTCGCAATAAGTACTTTGGATTCAAAACTGTATTTTGTTGCAGATTTAAAATAAATAGTTTAACATTTTGTGAATAATGCTTACTCACTTCAAAGCCCAGTCAGAGAAGGAGATAATACTGCACATGTCTGTAGCTTAGCACAAAGATTGTTAACAAGACAATAAGTGCAAAATCCCAAAATGTCAATCTATTCCCTAAATGCCCGACACTGGAGTAAAATTGCACTTCAGTAGAATACTAAATACAGTCGGAGATTTCTGAATAGTCACTCTTTGATTCAAACGTTCCTTCAGAGAGCGTTTTAGAGCCGTCTGATTCAAGCATTCATCACAACGAAGCACAATCCCACCAAGCTCTTTCCATCTTCAACAGGAATGCTGGAAACTATGAACAACCAATTCACAATGTGAATAATAAGAGTCCTTAAAAAAAAGGGTGTAACATCTGGCCCAACATCTGGACTACATGTTGATCTATCTGTTGAAAGGCGCGTGCTAACCAGCTAGCAGCGGCACGTCCCGCCTTGCTATACATCTTGTTCCTCAAGAGATTGTTGTTGTGAGATTATTATCAAACATAAGACAAAAGAAGTAGAGCGGTTTACCACATCCTGAAACTACAGGGTCTGCGTGTATACTTATTGGATTAAACCCGACGAGGCCGAAACAAGACGGAGACTCGTGGTTGGTTTTTCCCAGACGGCCGTTCTGCCGAGAGGAGAGCGCACGTACGAAGGACCTTCGGTGAACAGTTGGCTTGACTTGAGGCCGTTGGATCTGTGGTGGCCGTTAGGAGGGTCAGACCCGGCACAGACTACGGAATCTTAGCTGCCCGCTCCCTTTAATCTAATAAACATAGTGTCCAACTGGCACTACAGCCTAAACTACACATCCTAAACCAAAATGGATGATGTAAACAGGAGTTATTCCGACTGAATTTGGAGTGAAACGTCTCGCCCTATTTATTGGGGGGGGGAGGGGGGGGGAAGAGATCTGGACAGACGTTACACATCGCAGATCTAATGAGATCAGATGGAAAGAAAACTACAATTCAGCAAGACTGGCTTAACACACACACACACACACACGAAGGAGAGATGATTGCAAACACTGCTCACCTGTGGATTTGACTTGGCGAGGTTCTCGATCTTGACCCACGCCTCTTCACGTTCTTTTGACTTTGCCTTCTCTCTGTTGAGCAACCAAACGGCACGTCACTGATCTGTTCCACTCCACCGTTAGACGTGAAACCAGACGCTCATTTCAACCACTTTGTTAAGGCCGACTCCAATTATGCGTCACTCAGACATCGTCGTGAAAGTCAGACCGAGTGGGAGGAGAGTCCTACTTGTTTTTCTCGGCCCTGAACTGCTGTGTGCAGTCGTCAAAGAGCTTCTGGTTCATCTCCATGAAAAGCTTCAGAGCGTTGTAGATGAGGCCGTGGATGGTCCTGTGACACACACACACACACACACACACACACACACACACACACACACACACACACACACACACACACACACACACGTTAAGACCGTATAAGCACAAGTAGGGCTTGTTTTGGAACTTGTGATTGAGAAAAAAACGCTTTAAAAAAAGGAGTTAATTGGCTAAATTATTGGTTGTTTCAGCTTTATATTCAACATACCGTATTTTCCGCACTCCAAGGCGCACTTAAAAGCCTTTAATTTCCTCAAAAATCGTCAGTACGCCTTATAATCCAGAGCACCATACATATGGATCAATTGGTTAATCCATATTGGTTGTACACGGCGCTCAAGGAGCTCTGCCAAACTTGCCAAAGCTCGGTCTACGTCCGCGAGATGCTGAGCGGGCGCTGAAGCGCGTGAGATATTGAGATTGTTTCAGGGCGCGTCGGAGAAACAAAGCTGTCGTTCTTGCTGAGCACATCATGATTAAAGAGCGAGAGACGGTGACCTTTTCTTTACAGTGGCTGAACCATCTTAGCGGGGCCCTTGGCCGGCGGCGTGGCTGGATAGCAGCCGAAGATCTAAGGCGTGGATGGCGAGGGGAGGCGGCGGCGGGAACGGACGCACCATCGATGGGACCCTGAAAGCACCGTCTCCACCGGCCCACATCCACCCGCCCCGACGGCAAACGTTTGACTGCAGTATCTCATGCGCCTTATAATCCGGTGCGCCTTATAGTGAGGAAAATAGGGTAATTGGAAATTCTTGTTGTTGTTCATTCAAGGTTATGGTAAACAGCCTTTCTTAGAAAATGTATAATAAATAACTTATGATACATACTGGGTACTTTTTACACTGGAGAGTCCGTTGTGTGACCGAGCTGAAATATCCACACACACTTGAGAGATATCACTAACGTGAGCCGCCGCGTCGGACGGGTGTTACATGCCGTGTGCGCGGCTCTGGAGGACATTAGTTCGGCCCCGTGTGGAAGCAGCTTACTTGTTCCAGTGGGTCTTGGAGTTGCGGTACAGAGCGGGGAACATAATGGGCAGAATCTTGGCCGCGTTGTCGCTGATCAGACTCATGATGTACTCGTTGTTCCAGTAGTACAGAGCCCTCTCCGCCACCTACGGGGGAAAACACCTCGGTCAGGCACGTGGTGGTGTCGACGACAACCACCCGAAACGGTCTCCCACGGCATGAAGGGGGCGGTCGCGATCGGCCCTCTCGGTTACCTGGAAGTGCGGGCTGGACACGCACTTGGCCAGCTGCCTGAAGAGCGGCTCCTGCACCTTGACAAACTCGGAGGGCTCGATGACGTCCAGGATCTCCTCCAGCTCGTTGAGGAACATCACTTCCTTGGGACTGTGAGTCTTTGGCCAGTACTTGAGTAAAGCCATTACCACCTGTTGGGACCCCGGACAGAGAAGATTATAGTAGTTATTGACCCTTCAGGTAGGACGAGGGGAAAGCAGCTTGAAGGGTAAGCGGTCCACAAAATACAAATTTAAGACCCGACACCAGATTCTCATTTTAAAAACAATGCTTTAATAATTTCTTATATACATACCGGCTCAGTGAGAGTGCTGTCCTTTTCCAAAAACTGCACAACGCAGTAGGCCAGCTGCAAGAATAACCATTACAAAATGTCAGAAATGTTTGAATTTACCAGAAGCAAGTTGAAAAGTAACACAGGGCGGGGGACACGTCCACACCGGAAGGTGACGCAACACCATTTCTTGACTAAACCTGCTCACGAGAAGACGAGGAGTCTAATCGAAGCAGGTCTGGGCAAGAATGTATGTATATATTTCTGACTTGTCAATCATTCATGTGCTATACGTCCCCCTTGCTGTACAGCTTCCCCAAAACTTGTTTGTGTTCCACAAACTCACCTGTGGATGGTAGACACTGAGTGATTTCACTTTGTGCAGAGGCAATAGAACCTTCAACAGAAAAATCTTGTGCTCTTCCTTGAGTGGTAAGGCAAATCCATTGATTATACTGTGAAACGGCACAAATGGAACACGTTAGAAAACGTAGCCTGGCGTGTTGTAACAGCTTGTATGCAAAAAAAATCGATAGCGGCTAACAGCTGTGACAAGCCCCAAAGCGGATTCCCGTACCTTCCAAGTATTTCCAGTAGTTCAGCTATACCATTATGGTGCTCCGTCTCATAGATAAACCTGTAAGGCAAAGCAGAATCCTATCTATTACTGGATAGATGTATACGATTCCTGTGTGGCCCAACATGCTAGGTATGCATGTGTTTAAAAAAAAAAAAGAGCATAGTGGGAGACCTGTACAGACCTATAGAAAATGTTATTGATCTGTTTTCTGATGTATGCTCTCAGCCCCAGGAACTTTCCATAAATCCTGTGCAGGGTGGTTTTGAGGAAGTCTCTCTCTCGGGGATCCTCACTGTCAAACAGGTCTAAGAGCTGAAATACAAGAAGTGAAATGTTATTGTATAAAACTTAATTACCATGCACATTTTAGGAAGGAATGTTCCTTTCTTACCTGCATTACAAATTTCTGGTCGATGTATTTCTTGGCTATGTTGGGCTGAAAGTCGGGGGATTCTAAAAACCTAAGGAAAAATTCATAGACGAGCTGCAGCAGAAACAAGAAAAAGAAAATACAGAAGCAATGACTGATGTGAAGGAATTAAAGCTAATTAATTTGACACGAAATACACAACCAAAAAGCTGATACAAAGCAAAGAGCTTTTTATAAAACTCAAACTGTAACCACGTAGAGAAACTCCTCCAGCTTCACAATAAGCGTTAATAAACCTCCCACTGTTCTCGGGAGGATTTCGTGATTTAAATGTCAACCTGGAGGTGCGGCCACGCCGCTTCAAGTGTCGGCTCGTCTTCCTCTGGATCGAACTCTGCTCCGGTGGGGTTGGACGAAGGAGGCAACGTTCTGAACATATTCACCGCAAACTGGAAGAAGAGGAGCAAGCAGAAAGGAATCGTTTATTCCCCAGGACGGTACACCACTGAAGTTAACTTGCTTTTGTGATGAGCCAAAAGATTAAGTGTTTATGTCGGCGACCACACAAATGGCAATAGCGCTGCGGGGAATCGGTTACGAGGGATTTCCACAGAATAAAAAACAAAGACGGAGGCTTCCTGTCAGAAACGTCCCCATGTTGAATAACGGTTTCCAGTCATGAAGCGAACAAACAGCGAAACCATTTCAACAGACTGAATCCTGTTTTACACCTGCACAACATAGGCCTTAGGAGAGAAATTATTAGATCATTGTCACAAATGTGCACAACAAAAAATAAATAAATACAAGCAGCCAGATTTCTGTGATGCACGTTTTGATGATTCTTTGCATTTTATCTACTTTGCTCACCTAACTTGGGACAGAAGCACACATTTGCTTAAAAAGGATTATCATTATGCTCACGAAATAAAAATACAGCATGGAAATGAAAATAAATAACCCATTTTAAATCATTTTGGGACTAGTCGAAGTTTCCTGATAGGCGTTCTAAAAAAAGAAGGAAAAAAAAACTAAACCTAAACCCTCCTTGCAACTGGCCTCCGAGGGTTCGGCCCACAATAATCCGTGTGTGTAGCGTTCCTGGTCTCTTGCAGCGTCATCTGACTCGCCTGCGGGCTGCTATTGGCTGGCAGGCACATCATGGGACTGTGCAGGTGGCCTCCTCACACACTGGCCGCCTTGTTTGAAAAGACTGGCTGCAAGGTAGATGGACTATCTGCACTTCAATCCAGAACAAGCTGTGAAAACTTACTCCACCACGGAAACATCACAACAGTTATTTTAAAGGCTTTGATGATGCATTTGTAGCCTGGTAGGATGTAGCCGTTTCTGTAACTGTGCACACTCACGTCTGTGACCATGTGCTTTAGTTATAGACCACAAACATTTATTTTTTGACTCGTGGGGAAACATTTGTAGACAAAACATCTTGCATATTATTATTAAAGCCGTTGCAAGAGTTGATGGATAAAATATGCACCGTATGTTGATTTTTTTTGGCTTTCGCCTGCTTTTTTTCCTTGAAAAATAACTTGAAAAAAGCAATAGCGTGCAGAATTATTAAACAAAATCATTTCAAAAAAGGTGACTGAGCAGACGCCTAAAAAAAGCTCCTCCCCCCCAAAAAAAACACATGAAACCTGGTGACAAACATCAGCTGTGCTCAACTCCCAGCAGCCGCGTCCCACAGTTTGTCCCCGTTCCGTGCACACTCTTCTCCCTCAAACCGCAGCTTTAACCACACTTAAAACCCCCCCCGGGGTGCGACTGACCATGTGCACCATCTCCGGGTAGATGGGCTCCGTGATGACGTTCCTGTTGTGGGTGATGTACTCCACCATTTCGCTCAGCGCCGCCCTCTTCACCTCCTTCCATTTCAGGTCGCTCAGCGGGTCGGACAGGAAGTCAAACAGAACGCAGCACTGCCGCAGCTTTTGGATGAAGAGCTTCTCCTGCTCCGCGGGGGCCACATCTGAGGAGACACAGGAGGGAGGAAAGTGAGCACTGTGAAGGGAAGGAAGGAAGGAAGGAAGGAGAGTCCAGGGAAAGTCCGAATGAGGGATAAAGGCCCGACAACGCTGAGCAGTGGTGATGAAATAAGGCTGGAGGGAATATAGGAAAACAGAGTCATGTTCAAGGGGGGGGGCAGTTAAAGCAGCGATGCGGTAGGAGAGGAAAAGTATCAGGGAACAAGAGGGCGATCGGGCAAACGATACATGACGAGTAAAGTGCACTGAGTGAAAAGCTGAGACGGTTAAAGCCCAGCGGGAGGACGACTGAGAGGACGACAGAGGACTGGATGAGAGGACGAAGGATTTGGGAACTAAGTGAGTGGTCACGGACCAGCCGGTCGACACAAACAACAAAAAGGAGTCAACACACACACATTCCCCTTTTCTCTACATTTCTACCAGAGAACCAATCAACAGCAGCGGCTCTCAAAAACAAACAAACAAACAAACATCTCAGCCAGCACTTCACACATGACAACACGGAAAGGAAAACATCCATTGCGGACACTTGAAGACCTACGTGCACGAGAGTAATGACACACAACGACACCATAATCATGTAGTTATGAGACACAACTTTGATCTTGTTTCTCGCTGGTTTTCAAGACGTCAGCTCAATAATCGCCGATAAGATTAATTTATTTATAAACAAAAAGGAAATTAGGATCTGCAACCCTATTATTCACATGGTTGTTTTCTTGGTCATCTGCTTATTGAATGTCTTGCACACGGCTGCATGAGAAGATTGTCGTCACCCCCTCGCTCATTTTGTCCTTTTAAACATGAAGCTCCGGATAGTTTAGCTTGGAATGAAGTTCTGCCAAAAGGGGACAACCTGTCGAGCGTGATCTCTAAAGTTTACTCCGTGATAGGAGCCCACCACGCACAGCGGACTGGCGTCTTGTGACAGACGTGGTTAACGAAATGTCAAACTATTGCTTTGAGGCCAGTAAAGATGAGCTGAACAGATTTAAACTCGGCCGGCTGTTTCCTTATGAGCACGGCAGCAGTTCACACCCCGTTCCCTTGTTCTAGTACCAATCAATTAGAAAAGAAATAAAATCACATTACACTGGCGCCTCCACTCAACTTCATAGATTAGATGGTTCTCAATTAAACGACAGACACGTTCTATCCATTAAGTTACAGCTTAAATAAAAACAGGCAAATTCATTGGTGTCCACTGGCTTCTGCATTAAACTGCGTGGGTCCCTTCAAAATGACACGGGCCGCTGCGGGTGGCTTAGTCTGCAGCGTGAGAACGTTGCTAATGATTAACAATGCAGCCGCAGAACACGGTCATAACCATGGACGATCTAGACGACACACACATTTATGATTTCATTGGTGTGTCGCTGGTGACCAATGCTGGGTATCCGATGGATGACAAAGAGGACTGCTGCCTACAAACAGTAAACAACCTCTACAGCAGCTTTACATTAGGATTTTGCTGCTTTTTCTGCAGCCGGAACGGCCTCCTGTTAACAGGCCTGTGTTGTTAAACCAAAATAAAATCATACCAAGGCAACAAAAAGCTTTTTTTTTTTTATATCCCATAATTACGGAGCAGTAAAGGCTGTGGCATTAACAATAGGCTGGCACTGATGCCGGGAAGCCCTGTCTGCACATGAACGTGGACGTTGGCGCGGAGCGCGAACCAAATTAAATCAGATATGTAGACGGCGTACAGCGCAGGTCAAAGGCAAGCGTAATGGATGACTCCCGTTCTTCCATGACTGTAATCCGTCGGCAAAACACCGCCAACTAACGACAACCAAATTAGGTTAAGAGAAAAGGGGATTAATGAAATTGGCACAGGGTTCCAATGAAAATATACAACAACAACTAATTGAAGGCCAGAACAGAGCACTGCAAACAGTTTACGCATGAAGGATTGTATACAAATCCAAATCATACCGAGAACTTCCTTTTGTGTCTCTGAGTTACAACTTTCCGTGCACTAAACAAACCGGGATACATTTTTTTTCTTCATACAATACATAAAAACATATTGGCACGCAACAAGCAGCTAACATTAAGGTAACATAGCTGCTAATGCCCCAATTTCAAGGAATGAACCCAAAAGCCAGAGAAGCGCACGCAGAGCGCTTGGCATTCTTGTAAACAGGCAGGTTTTGGGTAAGAGGTCTCAGAATAACTCGTGTTTAAGGTCGTCTCCGGTGCACCGAGAAGTCTGGTAGAGACGAATGGGACAGCAGATTATGTAACCATTTACTTATTGGTGCTTTACTTCCATGTCCAGCAAACTGTTTGTGGACAGTGTCTCTCTCTCTATCTTTTCTGGGCAGGAGTTTTATTTTCTTTCACCCACGGCTCGCACCGCTGACCGTGTCACACTCGCTCTCGTTACGCAAGTCGGCCTCCGTCGGAGTCATAAAGTTTCTGTGCGCTCCTAAAATATGCTGCGGGTCGTTGGGTAACAGATAAAGGCTTGGCGTTGTGCTCCCGAAATTGATGTTAACCACAATGCGCCGTCTATTAATGTCGCCAACAGCAGCCTTAGGAGGGGAACAAGCGCGCGCACACACACACACACACACACACGCGGGTATCGTGTCTCGTGGAGAACACAAGGAGATTTATCCCAATGCTCCCTGTTAAAAAAAAAAGATAATAAATAACAGGAGTCACATTGGAGACCAACGTCTCTGCTTTTCTTCTCTGCAAATGGGTCAAAGGAACAGCTGACCGGCCGATCTGGATTTGGTGATGGTTTGGCAATCTGCTTTATCGACAGTTTGTTATGATCAATGTGAACCCTGACTGGCTACTATTTATAGCTATGCAGCAGGACAGTGGGTTAAAAAAAAGGGCACACAAAGAACTAGGTTAGTCATTCATTTAAGTCATTTTGACATCGCCTCCGGAATAGGAACAGTAAAGTAATGTGTTGCATGGAAACAGTTGGATGTGTGCATCGTTTCCACACTCGCCATCAGCTCGAATTTGCAAGCCAAAGTGATTGAAAGAGTATGAAACACAGGCATGAATGAATGTAGCCGGAAACACACTGAGGAAATGTCGGGAGGTGGGGTCTCATTCGGAGGTGGCCGGGGACTCGTCTGTCCAGACAGGTAGTGCAGAGGGGACGAAAAAAGGGTTCAGAACACCGAAAGGCCACCGGACCATCTTTTTCAGAGAATACATCCTAGAACAGAGTTAAACATGGATAGTCAAGTTTCAAATTGTTACGTGAGGGGGGTGAGGGGGGGGTCCTGTCTAATCCTGTGTGTGTGCAGATGAACACAAATATATGCATTTGGTTGGAGAAGTGGTTTCTGTTTCCTATCTGCACATTTGGAAGTGGATGTAAAACCCTCCCATTAGGTGGGACTCTAACGAACCACTGAGACACATTCAGCCGACAGAGATAAATGTGCAGCGTGACGACCTGGACGTGGGTCAGAAACGAGGCAGAATGTTCCCCTATAAACACAGAGTTATCATTCAAGGCTGCGGCTCAATAGCGAGGAATCGATGAGCGCCGGAGGCTTCATCGGACGCTTCATCGGAGGCCGGGCCGCACGGTGGCAACATGCCGGAGTGCACACATTCCTGAAACCGCCCTCCCGCGGGTCACGTTGACGGATTGAGGTAGACGCATATTTCACATTTAGGGGTATTTTTTTATTTTATTGGGCAGCTTGATTTGGAGAAAACGTCTTTAAAAAAAATAAAAAGGGAACAGGGTGGGGAATGAGATTTTTTTTTAAAAAGGGCTAGGAAGCAGGTGGAGAGGAAGGACGCTTATTGGACTCCTCGTTAGCTTCCCGTCGTGTTGTACACGCAATAGCCGCAACCACAGATACACAAAGAGACAATTAATAGGGGAACACAGCAAAGGCCAAGGAGAAGACCCTTCCCTGAGCTGTGACCTCACTTCCTTTGACATCACTAGCCGATGGGGGGGGGAAGAGAAGCTAGCTAGTAAAACCAGTTTTTTTTTAATGTAGCTCCGCTGTCTCACAATCATGCTCACGAGCCTTTCAAATAAACCCTCTTCAGTTCCCCTTCGAGAGCTGCTTGTTCTTCTCCCCCCAAAACCGCAGCAACAAGGATGCGATCGCGAAAACGTCCTGAATGCGGACAAACGCGAGCGGTGACCAGTGGAGGGGAACCGGAGCACAGCAACACACAGCTCCCCCTCTCTAACGCCGATTCCCCGGGACAATACAGGAAGAAAAATATATCTCTTTACGTACCTCTGAAGTGCATAAGAGCCACCGGCTGAAAAGGCCCATTGGAATTAGGTGCATCCACAACCATCCTGTCTCCGGATTTATTGCATGTCAACATCTAAACCTCAACCAGGAAGGCGATCCACTTAGGGCGAGAGGCCAGCCTCCATTTTAGCACAAAAGCAGATCAGAAAATGAAGCTCTCTGCCGCTGGAGGGAACTGGCTAGTTAGTGACGTAGGCAGTAAAGGCGGCTGCTGATTGGCTACGGTCAGGCCGCTCCGGAGCAATGTGGGCAGGGGCTGGGGGGGACAGGGGTGGCGATTGGCTGAGAGGATGGACGGGGGGCGGAATGTGCTTTGGAATTTTTGGTTGCGGCTCCTCCCCGCTCACTGGTCCCTGGTGACGCTTCGAGTCAGATGTACAGATCTGAGATCAGATTGACTGAAATCCTCTCCACGGTATAACCATTAGAAGGGTGTCCAGCAACACCTGATTTAAGGGTAAACAGTTGTAAATAACTTATTCTGAATGGGTATGGATAGAAAGGCCAATGGCGGAATCTTCAAAGTCTTGTTTCTGTATCACACAAGTGACGGTCAGGTGGGGGGGCCACAAATTGTTGGATTAAATGAGGAGCAAAGGGACACGAGAAGAAAACACATGAGGGACTGGGGATTGGACCATCGAAGACACAAACCTTAGATTAAACCTTAGTTCTCCAGCAAGACAAAAAAAAGGAAATAAATTCAGTAGAAATATTTTGACAACATTAAATGAATTACCATGTAAAAACTCAAATACATTATTATATCCAGTTTACCTTTGCCCTCACACAATGTAGTTTGTGAGAGGTTTTTATGACTCACTCAATATTCAGGTCAATGGCAGAATTTGCTAAATTATTTTGGCCTACAAGCGCTGAAGAAAATTAACTGTAAACAGGAAATGAAAGTGAGAGGAATGAAATATAGATGCACACACACACAAAGGAAACTGTTAAACTAATTTTATAAGTTAACTAGTGACTTAAATATCAGCTTTATATATATATATATATATATTCCAAAAAATATATATATATATATATATATAAAACAAATATATGATATACATATATAACAGATGATATACATAAATATATATATATCAATTTAATGAGGAGTTGTGTCCAAAGTTTTGACTGGTAGTATATTTATAAATATATATATTTATATAAATAATGAAGTAACTTGTCCCTCTCATGTGACTCATCAGGAAAGGGAAAGGCAAACTAAAACCACATTCAAATCACAAGGCCGACCAGAGTTTTTGTAACAGTTGGGTTTGACACTGTTTTCAAAGTCATCACACAGTAACTGATAACAAAGAAGGGGTGCGGTTAACCTACAATGTGCAATGTCAGACAAGTAATTAACAACTAATTAGTGAAAAGTTCACCAATGAAGACGAGGGGTGGTTAAGTCTAAATGCTTTATTCAAATGCATGTCAATCTTAAGCGCAAAATATCAAATTTTAATACTTGACCCCAAATTATAGCAGGTCATTTTTGCCTCAGCTTTAATTGTCGATTGCGTTTTCAACCCCCCGTTTCTTGATTTTTCCACGAAAAGGGGAAAAGGGTAAAGTAGAGGAAGGTCGAACGTATCACCGAGCAAAGCAGACATGGCATTCTCTCACCGCGGGGCCAAAGCCTCTCCAAGAAGTGCCTTTGCATTCCACCGCCATGACAACCGATGCCTGTGTTTTCTGTGAGCCACCACTTACTTTCTATTGGTAAGACCGGCTGTGCAGGAGTTGGTACCAGTTCTAAAATACCCCAGCTCTCTTTTTATTACCACAAATATTTTTTGGGATGAAAAATTGTTGGTACTGCCAAACAATCTCATAAATAAGAGCAAAAACCAACACGAACGTCTCATCGAGAGTTTATCTGTGCAACATGATGAATGAAATATGTCCATTGTTGCCCAAAAACATAAAAAAACACATGACGGGAATCATCTGCACATGATCTTTCAACATGCTTTGTGGTCTGTATTGATCGAGGCCCACACACACAGACACTCCTGGTGAGGTTAATACATTAATATGTATGAATCAGCAGTTGGAAATAGTCCCTAACAAATGCATTATTGAAGTAGTGGTTCTTTCTGTAACCCATTTTTAGAGGTTTGTCTTGGAGAGACATTATATGACTGAATTCGGAATGTTTGACTTCAAAAACTGAGTTCATCCAAAGAAAACAAAAGAATTCCCATTTTCAGCCAGAGGATGGCAGCCTGTGCTTCTCCAGACCGTCAGTAACACAAGCCCATCACTAAATGTTTCACAGGCACTTGGAATAACATGCAGTTTTCCCTTCTTCATCAAGCATACAACAGCCCTCAACAGCAAGTGAGACGAAGTGGCTTCATATCAGAGACGATAAAGGGAGAAAAAATGTTTTTCTGCTCTGCTCACAGAGATACAGAAAGCACAAATATCCACTATACACTTGTAGATGTATTTATAAATGAACAGCGCTCCTACACTAAATCCATTTTCTTCTCTTGTGTCCTCTTGTGTGTTCTCATTCAGGCCTTCAAGTATACATTTGAAACACACAGAAACATGATTAAATCCTCAAATCAACCGTGTTTTTTTATTAATAATCCACACGCTGTGAACTGTGGCCGTGTCTCCCTCAAATTGTCCATCACCTCTGGACTGCTCACCTCTGTCGTTTCCCTGCAGTCTCACCCTGGTTCATCCTGGTATAAGAAAAGAAAGCACAGCTGGGTGTAGTTTACAGGAAGCCACTCAGGCCGGATCCTGCCTGTAATGCCGTGTGGAAACAAAGAAGCCATGAAAGATTGATGTAAATGATCAAACCTAAACCTCACAGTCGTGTCTCAGAGATGGCACCGGGGTTTATGTGTACTGCTACTAATCAATCAACGCTGACAGAGGGACCAGTTGGCTTCTCATCGCTACGCTGATCAGTTTGCTGATTAGGGATAAATAAAAAAACAGAGCCTTCCCAGTTATTCGTACTGCGAGGTGAGTGATCTTCGTTACAAAACGTACCGTTCAGGGATCATGTTTGAATTGGTCGTACGTGTGGAGTTATTATTGGATGGCCTGGATCCCACCACTGTCCATTCAGTCTGACTTATCTTACAAGGTAAGATCTGTGTCCTAAAGGGGATGCAGCTGATTGCACATTGTTTGCATTACAGATAAGGCTGATGGGCAGTCTGCTTACCTGTAAATTATGTAGTGAGCAAAGGCCTCTAAGTTAAAGAGACGGCTACAAGGATCCACCAAGGCCATCCATTGTTAATATGAGCCGAACATACAATCAAATAAAGGTGAACTAGCCTGTTTCAGGAGAAGGAGAAGACCAAGGCCAAAAGCTCAAGACCAAACCCCACACTGCATTGATCACGTTCACATAAATACACCAAGAACAAAGCAAGATTGCTCTTCTTTTATTGCCATGTATCTGTCGAGATTTTTGTCTTTGTTTTCTATGAGCAAACAGTTACATACAAACAAACAATAACGAGCTGAAAATGACTTCATTAAACACTGCCTTTCCATACCATGCTTCTTCCCAAATGCCTAAAAAGGTCCCGTACCTTTCAGTCAGCGTTGCAGAATTGACATGCCGTACATACTATACTGTGCGTGGTGTTTGCAGATGAGGTCTTTGTGGTTTAGGGTTATCACTGAGAATGTACGGCCTGTTGGGAGGTGAGGCTGGATAACGGTGAAAACAAAGGGGTGGAGTTGCACGTGAAGTAGGAAGTTTCACATCCAATCACAGTAATTAGTGTCGAGAAATAAATCAGTTGAAGCAGAGGCACCTTAGTGCCACGGTGTGGAGACGGACAAGAATGAGTAAAAATGCTTAGGCGAGAGAGATCCCAAACCAAATGTTCAAAAACGTTGTCTTGAAATCGCCACGGAGACCCAGGCCGATGCTGAGCACCATAACGCTGACACGTGAGTTTTTACGGGGGAACACCGTGCAAAGGAGTTGCATTGGAAAAGAGTGAGGCTCCTGACGGAGGCGCTGTGCATTTGAGGGAGGCATACCTGCAAGTGCAGGCAGTTTCTGCAGCTCTCTGTTAGCACTGAGGGGGAAAGAGGAAGTGCTGAACCTCTTCTCCCTCTTCGTGGCCGAGTGTGACCCCGGCTGCTTCACCCTCATCACCTGAGCTGCGGGAGGCACTTTCTTATTGGAGCCCTGCAGAAACAAGAGTCGCAGAGGAACAGCTCCCGTTACAGGAGCCGGGCAGGGCCGAGGTAGTTCCGCCGCCCCAAAGGAAATGCCACAGGAATCACTTTACTCAAGTGTCACGGTGGACTTCAAAGGAGGAGAGAAGAGAGCAGCGGGGGGGGGGGGGGGGGAGGAGATGGATCGTGGGCAGGAGGGGAGAGGAGACAAAAAGAGAGTAGGACAGGAGATGTGCCGAGGGTGTTGTGGTTAAGGTTCAAGTTCCTTTCCGAATCAGATCAGGTGATTCTCAGCAAAGCAACCCGATCACAGTACCGTACTGCATCAGTGGGCAGAGCCTGTGATGGGCCTCTGCGGACGGAATAATTGAGCAATGGAGCTCATAAAGCTGTCAATGGGGACAAATAGCAGGTCGGGCCGTCGATCAATCCGGTCTCTTCTGATCTCAAAGCACTGTACTCGACATCACTTGTACGTCGCAGCAATAAGGACAGAAATAGCCGCCACAATGACTCCTATTGTACTCAGAGGTCATACAAGTCGTGATGAGAAGTACGGAAAAAAGAAAATAGACTCATAAGATCACGCTGAGATGTCACATGAGCAACTTTGGGTGTAAAGACTTTCCCCCTGAAGGCCGTAAAAAGGTTTGCAGGGATGCCCTTGAATCCATTAAGGTTGTGTGCTCATGACACCAATTAAACCCCAAAACAAACAAAAAATAAATCATAAATTAAATGCATAACAGCGAAAAAAAGTCCATAGAAAAACAATAACAAAGGAAACCTTGCTTGATGGTGTTTATCGTTGTATTATCTTTACAATAATTAACTAAATTAACACATTCCAGTAATGTATTTCTTATTTGTGTAGCAAATTTGTTTTTGTAGCTAATGCAGGGAAAGTGTAAAAATACTTACATCTTGGTTTTCTGCAGGGCCATTTTTACTTCCGGATTTGCCAGATTTGCCAGATTTAGTTTCCTTTAATGGGTGACAGCGAAAAACCGGCACAACTCAATATTCACTCCAACAATAGTCATTATGATATTGATGACATAATAAAAGTACATTTTGCACTAAGCATCCACGTTACCTTCTCTCTTTTGCTCCTGTGAGGCATCCTGAGATGGGAAACCCCCGATGTCAGCAGGTTCGAGGCTGTGGTCACACACTGACAGCAGATGCCTGGTTCACGCGTCCGGACACACTGATGTGGTTTTTCACAACTCACCATCCAAACGCCACGTGACCGAGAGCTCACAGCATGCCGTTCTGTTTCCTCGGTGGCTGCATGCCACTAGTCACATGTCTTTAAACCACCCCCTTCCAAAAAAAAGAGGTAGATGTGTGGAGGAAAAGGACGTTTATTGTTCCAGTCTTCTGAGTTTTTGTGGCTGCACTTTGTGGCTGCGGCCGTGTCCTCCAGCCCAACTGAGAGATGTCATGAGCCACTTGTAGTGCGCGGTGTCGCCACAGGAGGGCGGTGCTGCATGCCAATGCCAGGTCATCGGGGTTGTGCAGTGCAGTGGTACTGACCCAACCCTGCTCAGGCCCTAAGTACCTATTACAATTGCCCAATAAACAGATGTTGGAGTTGGGGACTATCCAGAGGTGACAACTATTTCAATCTGTTGATTGTTTTTCCTTTTGTGTTGAGGCACTTCCCGTATGGCTCGTCCTTGGCTTCTTCTTTCAGCCACGTTTTATCATTCAACCTGATAGGATTTAGGTTGATCGCCAGTTTTTAGAAATAAATCTTGAGTTTCTTGTCAAGTGTTTTAATTTGAAATGCTGACAAATGTGAATAGGTTCTGGCCTGATGTACTTTAGCATTAAATTAACATTACTAACTTTACTTTAAAAAAAATCAATTCATAAAATTCTCATTTTAGTTGCATGTTTAAAACACAAGACTGGATTCTTTGTCTGGACATAACTACAAGTTGTTTGGCTCTCCCCACCTGCTTCATAAAGAACACTGCAGTGGTCTTTTGATTGGTGGGTGCTTGTTTTCCCTCATGTCTCATTGTTGCAATAAGTAACTCGGTCCACATGGTGACAGTGTTGCATACTTTTGAAGCTTGTCTTATATTGATTCTTAGTGCTTGGCATTTAGCTTAAGGCAGGCGTGCATTGAGATTACCCTTGAATATCCTCACCTCTGACTGCAAGTTGAACAATGAATGAACTCTCAGATAATGTCAAGAGTTTAAAGTATAGTTTATTATAGTACACTAAAGGGTCTGTTTAATACCCGTTCTCACATCCACAGCTTGCTGCTTGCTGTAGATGTGAGAACTGAATGGAAAAGAAATGACAGATTGAGATGAGCAGTGAATTCATGTGGGGGCTGCAAACAGAATGGGATTGTTTTCTATTCTGGTTGTCAAAGCAGCGCGCCGATGTGTATTGATCAGGTTGTGAGAGTGTTCTGTCCTCCGAATCATTGTGTTTCCATCTCTCCATGGTCGGAGCCTCATGATCACCACTGTGTTATTACAGGACGATATGGCTGCCTTCATTTCCTGTATCAGCACCAGCAGTGAATACAAACCAACAGGAAGGAAAAAAGTCATTTTTCTTCTTTTGTGTGTACACGCTTGGGTTGATGGATGACTTTTGTGAGACATTACAAAGAAATGCAATACATTAATACGTAATTTACAGGCGATTGGAGTAATTAAGAATGTGGGGGACGATTTGGTTTCCACTCTTCAATGAATACATTTTGTTTCCACATGAATCTGCACAAAAAGACTTTCTTATTTATTGTTTTTTGGGTCGCTAACATTTTTCTCATTCAAGTATATATTTTCTCTTTTTCTAACTCTTTGTCATGTGTTTTTTTTACCTTTGCGACAGCAGTGGAGCCACTTTTACACCACATCGTGCTGTGCAGTCATTGAACAGTGAGTTGCCATAACGCCGGCTTCTTTATGAGGAAGGTGTCCAGCAGAGTTGGGCAACAGCTTGTTTATTTTTCCAGGTAACGAACGGACAAAAGGGTGGAGGTGAAAGAGAAATAGACGGCTCATTATGGTGGCGGTAGATTGCCTGAGAAAACAAAAGAGGGGAACAGGTCAGAGACGGATCGGTGTAATCACGGTGCTGCATCACAGGTGCACGATCCCCAATGATAACACATTAATGTGTGTTGATTGTGTGACAGAAGCTGTCCCACCTGCATGCATGCCTGTCTGTTTGCCTGCTTTTACTGTCAAAAGGAAACCGTCATGGTTCGGCAGATGGTTTTATCGGGTAATTCCAGAAGGTAAAATCAAACAACTTTGGTTGAAATCTTTGCTTGTTCAACAGCTCCATTTGTGAAAGGGTGAAAATAATTAACATATTCCCATGTTCTGGTACATGAATGTAAGCATTGATACCGCAAGTGTCCTTTCGGGTCGCGTTAAGTTAATACTATGTTTTAAACTTGATTTATTTGAAGCTTTAGAAGAGCAAAGAAATTCACATTGTACAACGAGTTGTGAATTTAACCACGTCTTTCTATTCTTGGATCAAAAATGAGTCTAGTTTTGGCACATATGAGTTTGATGCCGTTCCCAATGACAGATGTGTTTCCCAGTTTCAGAGAAACAGCAGTCCAATCAGAGTTTAGGCCCTGTGAGCCTCTCATTACACAAACAACTGTTGGACGGATGATGAACAACTTTGCTCTTTTATTCTTGAGCTTTGAATTATGTGATACGCTATTCATCGTCAGACGAGGCCCGTTTGATGGTCCTTGAAAAGTCCTTGAAAACGTTCAGCCTTCAGGGGAAACAAAAGTGGACGAAACCATCTGACCTAAAATACTATTTCCTAGCTTTCAACATTTCAATCACTTCACAAAATGTCTTTCGGTGGGCGGAACTATAAAGATTTGGAATATTTCAAATGTTTCAAATCATTTTAAAAGAATGACGATGTTTGCTGTTTGCAGTAAAGAAAGGTCCACTGTTGTCATCAGCTAGCTGTGTTAACATGCACAGTGGCATCTTTTGGATGCTGAAGGCCTCGAGAGCTCTCTCGCTGTGTGTACACAGGAAGCCCTCATCTCTCCCCAGCAGATGGCTTGTTTGATGGGCCTGGAAGAACATCATGTCCTGCCCACCTCAGAAAAAAATGATCTCCTGGGATTTAACTTTTCAGTTCCTCCAAGGTGATATTCTGGCCTCGCGTCTGTTTCGCTGTTTAATGACAACTCCGCCGGAAGCCTTAACTTATGTTCTGCGACCCACAGCGCACGCTTCCCCGGCTTCAACCTCGTTTCCTTTCCCCGGGGAGTCGGAGTGCTACCCGGATAGCTCTTCCCTGCTGAAACCCTTTTGTGTTGGTGTTGCATTCGGATTTTCTGCACGCCTTTCACAGAGACGTTGCGCTTTCAGATAAGATCATTCAACCAGAAGAGGTTGAATGTAGATCTAAGCACATTTAGCTTTTGGAAATCAATCTTGGTTTCTCATAAAGAAAGGAAATACAAGACGGTAAGATTGTCAGAGTCTCTTCTCTTTCTAATCAATCATCCATTACTGAACAAAATGGGTGATGCCACTTCTAATCCAGAACTTCATTAACTCATAATCACGGCACCCATTCAGATCTGACAGAGACGTAATGGCTATTGATTGGCTGAATTGTTACACTTTGTTTCAATAGATTTATGCCAGCATCCTCACACCTGTCTCACGGGAATCGGTGCACTGTCTTTGGCTCTGGTATCTGACCTTCTCATGTGTTTCAGCAACAGAAAAGTAAAAGACAGACTGACCATGGTTCAGAAAGGAGAGTGAGGGCTAAAGGTATTTTTGACCTGAGAATTTAGTTATTCCAAGCTGCCTTTGTGGTTTATTTGAAGACAACGGCTGTGGAGTGAAGACACTCCACAGCCGTTGGAACAAGCACCTTAAGGTTAAGGGCAACACTATACCTTCGCTAAAAACCTTGATTTTTGTTTTGTTTTCCGTTGAATTCTCGATTCTAAGTAACGCATTTAAAGTTTTTCAAAAGGCTTTTGCTCTGGATGAAGTTACAACAGCATGTGAAGTTTGGGATCTCTATCTTCAAAGTAATTCAGATTTATATAAAGTGCATAATTGTTTTAAATCAAGTTTTGATCAGGCTCGTGCAGGAACGGCATTGAAATTAATAGTATTCTCTTACTGTCGGTTCCTTGACAAAGGCATTGCAATACACGGATGAATAATGTTGCGTGGCCATGAAACATTTGAAGGAATATGCATGCATGAAACATACACACGCTTTGAATTTTAAAAATACATGTGATGCATGTGGGAAGAACAAACACACGTTTGATACTGCCGGCCTGACGCTGTAAAATATAAATAACCTCTGAATAAATTGCCTTGAGTAAACACCACAAGATAGATAATATATTAATACCTTTTTGCTCGCTGCATGCCCATGTATGGTTTCATAGTCAAAGACAGACGTGTGCACGTGCAGACACAAACCACCTCTTGAACACAACGTAATCCCTTTGACAGCCCCGGTGAGGTGCAGGTGCAGGCTCAGGGTAAACTCTCTGCTCTGCAGCACCGCCGTCATGGATTTCTGACCGGCACCCTTTGTCTGCGGGACGGGATAACTGTAAATCTTTTAATACAATTCAGTAAATGTGTTTTTTTCACTTTACGTGAGCTTCTGCACTATTAACACTTTACCTTAACGTCACCCCAGAGACAGTTTGTGATGGTACGGTTGAGGCAGCAGCTGTTGTGCTCATGTGAAATGTAAGATTATGTTGAGGGTTGTGCTGCCATAAAAAAATAAAAAGAAAGCAGGTCTCTGACAATGATTTATACATTGGATGTTTTGGATGCTATCTCTTTGTGCAGAATTGTTTTTTATCTAAAGTTCACAGCAGCATAAAGATGTGAAACTGTTGGGTTATGACAGTATGTGTCTGGAAAAGTCTCTTCACTCTGCTTTCACAGACCACATTTCAATGGAGATAAAAGTCAGACTGAAAAGCTTCCAAAATGATTTTCTGTCAGTCAGTGGTTGTTCTGACCCCGCTTCTCGGATGTGAGTGCTTTTTCCTTCTCTTTCTCTGCCCTGCTCGCGGGTTCTTCCTTCTATCTCCTGCTCACTCCGTCCTCTGAATCCTCTCTTATAGCCTCTGCTCGGATCCTTTCTGCAGCAGAGTTACTCGGGTCAGAAAATGAGCCGGCCGTCCGGTCTAATCTGGGGAATACAGGCGGCTGGAGACGGAGAAAGAAGCTGACAGAAAGGGCAGCTTTCCCCCATCGATAAAAGGCTGTGCTTGTGCCTCAAATCAGATAGCCTCCAACTTAACCTATGAATGTAGCTGAAAGCCGCAAAGAAGAGAAGTGCATCTTCATGTCTGGGGAGGCTCCATCGCCAGAAGTGGAGTTCAAAACTACCCTGCAGAAGAAACATTTAAATTTCAACTCAGATTGATTGAAAAGATTATTCTGTTCATTGACAGCTTTGAAGACAGAAAATAGAAACCGTCGAGGGGGGAATGCTCCTCCGAAGCGTTTTGCATTAATCATCCGCTTATAATAAACAGCTTTTTGAATGGGTAAGTACATAATCGCATGTTATTCTACGTGTGGGAGTTGTAGATTGCTTATTAGGGTTTTATTAATTGATGCGGAAAATCTTTTATTACTGCACTGAACATTTTTTGAGCTTTGCTTCTCAGCTTGCAAATTCAGAAATGTAAAATGTAATTCCTTCCAGGTTTCATTTTGCAGAGTTAAAAATGGATGGGTATTAAAATGTAAAAACAACATTTACTGTTCAACACTAATTAGTCCCACTGATACTTTTCAGCTGTTATAGTGAGTCTTAAAATGACTTAGGCATTTTATCTCACCCCATAGTAGCATAGTAGCCCAAACAAAGAAAGGAATAAGGAATGAAATTATATTCATGGCAAAGAAAAGAAAAACAGATGCTCTGTAGGAAGAGCGGCTGCTTGTGTGTGAGGAAAACAAAGTTGGAAGGGAACGCCAGATTTTTCCGGATTGTTCAGAATATTTCTGTCCAAATTAAAGTTGACTGTAGAGGTGAAAAAAAGCAAACACAAAAATAATATATGTATTCTTATTCTACAGTCGTGGGAATTGTAAATGCATTGTCATGTGTGATCATTTGAGGGTTATTCACCAAGTGGACAGTTTCAAAGGAACGATTTGCCCATTTCTTTGCTCCGTAATACACAATTATACAAATATGCCAGCAAATGGCTAATGTATGTATGAATGTAGATAATTTAAATGTATAATTGACACAATTAAGTTGAATTGAGTTGAACAGCTACGCATATTTACTACTTTACATTCTAGCTAAACCATCCTCATAGCTCTCGTTTCAATTGACAGAACTGCTGCAGTAGGTCTGTAAAACAAAACATTTTATTCGTGGAGGAGCAGCAGTAATTAAGAGTTTATTGGAGCGGTCACTGCTCAGAGTAGGATCACTGTGGTTGGGTTGCACGCTGTTGCAGCACACCATTGATGGTATTATTCACTTTGCAGTACCTAAGGCAACTATTGCCAGTGAACATGAAGAGTACAGTAAAGACAGACAAATAAGGATCTCTCATTTGGGCATGCATGCAACATGGCAGGGGACTAAAACTGACTCTAAAATGAAAGACAAAGAAAATGTGTTAAAAATAAATATGATGATTTCTTAATTAATGTCATTGCTCAACTGTGGGTGCACATATTTTTAAAACATCGGCTTTACATTGTTTAGCAATTAGACGCATTCTATAACGGCTCATTCCATTTGGGTTCAACTGTGTTTCATGTGTTCTAACATGAATAGATCACCCACTGAAAGCGACAGCTACTGGGCTGTGTTTGTGTCTCTCCGTCCCTCTTTTCCTCTCTGCTCCTCTCACTTTCAAACCCTGCATTTTTGTCTGCCAAGAGCGACTCAGAAAAACCCACAGCAGCAAAGCGCAAGTGAAGGACACTCAGGTTGACAGCAACTTGACTTGCTGTTGCCATATGTGCAATGCAGTGTTTTGGGGTAAAAAGCCAATACTTTATCAATGCGTTATAAACTCAACTCAGAAGTCGTAGTTATTTATAGGGAGATATTTATGACTTAATGTAGTGACTTTACTGTAAGCATAACTGTTTTTTCTTTAGAAACAATATTTAGCTGTGTCTAAATTATGAATGAATTCTAATTCCGTTCCGAATTCCGTTTAATTCCTAGTTGCATTATGATTCTAAAGCTACAGTGGCCTACGGGTCATGTGCACGTGTTAAACTTGTAATATCTGTTTTGGACTCTTTGAGGAGCACCCGTTCCCCATGTAGTTACCAAGAGCTCATTCTAAGGTAAAGAAAACATGATTCTCAGTTTCAGGTGAAGAATGAAACCACGATTGTATTCGTTTTCTGCTTATAGACCATCCTCGGTTTTGGAGAATCTTTCACAGGCAAATCAACCTGTTAGTATTCAGAGCCTCAAACCACACTCAGCGCTGGATTCAAATCAAAGCATTTTGCTGTTGGCCATCCCAAATACCTCCACAGAGCCACACACAGACACTCACGCCGTACTTCTCTGATTCCACATTCCTGCTTCGGGGTTTATTTGATTTGTCAGAAATCCAAACAGACGATAACTTCTCACAGTGAAAAGTTCTGCGCTGCTGGAAGGAGACTGCAGAGAGGCGGTTTGAGACGTACTGATTCTGTTCACCTGTTCACTGGTGGATTCTGCCCCTCCAGCTGTTTACCCTGGTTGTCAGGCCTCTGTCAGTAAAACCCCGACTAAAGGTTGCTTAACTTTACAGTAGTGAGAACCTCGCAGTGTACACCACACCCGCAATGATTTTTCAGACCCCTGCTGCTCTGGTTCCTTACATAAATTGTGAATTCTTAATTTGCGTGGAAAATCTAGGCGTAAAGAATTGTATCCACTCAGATGGGAGAGAAGGAAAGAAAAGAAAATATTTCAAACAATCTATTTGTATATCTAATCTATATTTATTACTTATTCATTAGTATTTTGAATGAAACTTTTAACAAAAAGTAGGAGTAAACACACGTGACACTGATCATGAATCTTGCTCCTTGTCTCATTTCTGTATTTGTCTCATAGAGTAGAATTAGTGTTGTATAACCATTCCATTCCAGCCTTCAAGGGATGCCAAGCCTTTCTTTCCTTTTCGTTGGCACTTTGGGATGTTTGATTTGTTTCCAAACACAGGAGATCTAAAACATTCATGTGGCCTCTTCCATCATTTATCCCCTGTGTGTTGAGTTAGCAAAGGTGTTGTGTTATGACATTGTGTGGAGGTGTGTACATGGGAAGCACACAGAGCGCACTGGACATGCACGCATTTAGATGCATGCAGTGCGCCCTCACTGGCTGTGTGTGAGTGAACAGAAGCTTGTCAGATTGCACCCGCGCTTGTCAATCAGCGATTTAGAACGATTGCGTGACCTCCCCAAGAAAGAAGCGGTTGACAGTGTTTGAGTATTAGATCCATATTATGGGTTAGCTATGTGTTAATCCTGTGGATATATGACAGCACTGCCATTTTTACATTTTTCTACAATTCTTCAACTAGACTACCCAGATGAGGGGTGAGTGAGGTGCAACAATCATTCATAAATATCACCACAGGAACAGACCCAAATGGGAATTTCATTTACATTTCAAAGCAGATGACATTAAGATGATATTCATCTTTTCAGCTGGTAACGTGACGTGTGCGTTGAAGTTGCACCATGCAACCATTTGGCCGGACTTGGTTACCCGAGGCTGTTGGGCTATTTTGGTTCAGGGGGGGATGGATTGACGGGGAACAGATTGTAAGTGCATCCTAACCTTCAGGCATCCTAACTTAATCTGAAGCCGTCTCCTATCCATCCTCCACCCTGATCCAGAGTGACGGAACTACTCTGGGCTCCATTTAGTATGCATTATTTTGGGGGTATCCTAGCCTTTACCTGAGAGCACCCAGTGAAGGAAAGGAACACGGCACTGGAATTGAACGCAAGATGTAACAATTGCTTGGCTAAGCTTCTTTTGTGTCTTTGTCTGTAAAATCTCACGACTTTTGCAGATATTTCCATATTTGTTTCAGTTCCTTCACTAAAGGATAATAAGTTACGGCACATTTGTTGTACGGCTCAATAGCTGACGGGCTGAATAATTAGGCTTTATTTGTTGAGCACTGTTAAATACAACATTAACCCCAACCCTTTTATCACATTGCAAAGGGACTGTGGCCTCTCTTCACAGAGCTTTTCGCATTCACGGTGTAATAAGTTTGGTTACTCACGTCATTAGCTCCCATGACAATTCATTATACATTCAAAGCTTTGTAAAAAAAATAAAAAGGAGGAATGCATTTTTTCGCTTTGTCCCATTTGTCTTACTTTCAGATTCAAATAAAGATGATTTAATTGGCAATACATTAAATCACAATAGATCCTACAAAGGACAAAGGATTCATATTAACATCCAACGTGGAGGTTTTTAGAACTAAACTGGACTACAACTACAACAAAGTTTTTCCAAAATCGTTCCTAAATTAACAAAGTATCCAGTACATAACAAATAAAACTGTAGCATACATTTAGTCAAAAACACTATTCTTTTGCATACCTCGGCCTGTAGCTTATTCCTCATGAATGCCGTTAACTCCTCTCACGCTCTCTCATAACTTCCTTCCTCTCATTCGGGCCTTTCAATATCAGCTGTTCTGATCAGCTGGTCTCTGTTCCCCGATAGCACAGGAACACAATTACTTCATAAGCCTTTCGTCTTGCTGCCGTCGTGTTTTAAATGGGATTGTCTCTCCATCCTTAGTAGTACTTAGTACTTAGTGCTGCTGTTACTCACCCTTCCACATCCCCCTCTCTGCCACATACTTATCATTCTATCAGCCTCATCAGCGGTGGATGGGCGTGATAAATTAATGCGTCCCGACACTCCATGCGACGCTCAGGGTAGATGCTCCAAAGGCTATCATCATATTATCATCACATGTCATCTGTTAATATTAAACGAATGTCCTTTATTCATTGAAAAAGTCACAGTATCCCGCTTTTTTCAGCCATTTTAGACTATTGTTTAGTTTTAAGGGATGATACATTGTTATTGTGTGTCACTGCCAATTAAACTGAACAGAAATAGACAATGTCATTAACTGAGTATTTGGTGACTAATGTTGTGGAAAGTGATGATGGTACATCTCGAAGGGAGAAAAAACACATAACTGATTTCATGTCAATTCAGCCAATAGATGTTGAGACCACTGTTCTCTTTTGATATGGAAACAAACAAATGGCCCATTAATAATGTCTTCTTAGGACAGCGACTTCCTAATTTCTGTATCTTGCAGGACTGATTAAAGGGTAATCAAATCAATTTTGACTTATATGCAACAGGTTCAGGAGCCCAGACAGTCAGCACACACTGAAGTGGGACCACTGCAGGGAGAAAACATCAAGATTATCCATTTCAACAGTTGGACTCCGGTTTGGTCGCGTCTTTTTGATTTGATGTCCCAACGTTAAGATGAACTGTCTTCATTGTTGCTGAAACACATTTTCCAGGCCCTCCACAGAGCGATGGCTGAATTGAATTGCAGTAAATGTATAGCAATTAAGATCTTTTTTTTCCAAGCTGAGCTCATCTATGGGATGATGTGCTGTGTTTAAAGTGTCGGCCCTTAAACATATATTCTTTTAAATCCATTCAGCACTTCTTTATTGTTTCAAAGTATTGTTTGTATTATTTAATGTGATGACATTGTTCTTTTTTTTGCCAAACATAACAGTCACATCATTCCTGTTATGATAACATACACAAGGAAACATGCAGCAAATAACCCATCATGTTTTTTCTCATCTTGTCTCAAACATTTAAAATCTTTTCAACTTTGCATCCCTCAGTGTTGAGGAAAAGTAAATTTTGCATCAAAGGTTGTATCTGATGTTAAAAAATACTGAGAGGGATTCTGCTGCATATTCATATATCTAGTGAATAAAATTTGTAAAACGACACTATTAAAAACACTAACATTATCCCCGTTGTTCTTTGTCGGGGTCGTGTTTAACCAGTGAATCAGCTTTCCTTTCCAATGACCTCGGCCACATTACGAAAGAACAAGTATCTGCATAACAAAACAAACACATTAAATCAAAATTTATCTCAGATTTTCCTCGCTTCCCGGGATTCTACCTTGTCCCTCACAAGCATATCATTTCATACCATTTTTGAAAGGGTTTATTTGTTGCTGTTGCTATGGTGTTGGCTGTTACTTAAAATTCAGAGGCAGAGTGAAAATGCTGTTTCCATTTCTGTCTCTGTGAGGACAAGACGAACCTCGCTGGAGAGTAGCAGGTATAGAGCTCAAACACTTAACAATCCTCCCTTCCTCAACCACGCATATATTACAGTAACACACACACACACACACGTACATACACATAGCATCAAACTTTAAAAAAGCCTATACTGCGATATATACAATGAATTTCCAAAGTTTTGCTGTCTAAGTACTTTACTGTACCCCAGAAACATTATATGGAAGTAGCAGCATACAGAATGAAGCAAAGAGTAAGACAATATATATTTCATGGCTTTTCAATTGCGCAACACTACATCCAAAATCTCTTTGTTAGCTGTTTCCATACTACTGCGCCTGCTTTTGTGTCCCGATAACATGAAATAGACGGTCTTAAGATTTTAAATTTTTTTTGCATGCATCAGTCTAAACGGAGGATGCTTTCTAAAGAGCTATGGCACAAAGTTGTTTGATATAAAATCCAAAACACACAATTAGCAATTAGCACAATTAGCATGTGTTCACAAGGTGGGATATTTAAGTGTCACTACTGCCATTATCATAATTTTCTAGTTTGCATCTAGTTGGCTCTTTTTCACCGAGAGTTTATTTTTAATCCGTCTTTCTTTCAGGTGAACCGTCTGAATTTCATGAGTTTTTGAAAAGCCTGTTTGAACTCATCGTTGAATGCCGTGTAGATAACCGGATTGATGAGGGAGTTCAGGTATCCCAGCCAGGTAAATATATCAAAAAGCACCGGATCGAACCAGCACCCCTTACATATGGCCATGACCAGCGTGCCCACAAAGAACGGGAGCCAACAGACGATGAAGGCGCCGAGGATGATGCCCAGCGTCTTGGTGGCTTTCCTCTCCCGAGCCGCACACAGACGTTTCCTCTCCAACACGCTGTCTGCCAGCTTCACTTTCACACTATTCATGAACAGGGGAGATCCTCCCCCTCCTCCGCCTCCACCGCCTCCCGCGTTGAGAGAGTGCGGGTGGGCTTCCTGGTTGGAGGCAGAATTCAGGGAGCAGAGAGAGGAGCCCGCCGAGGTCTCAATGAGCTGTGCTGTGGTGAAGCGCTTTCCCGAGGACGACGGCGTCTTGAAGATGCGGGAGCGTGCGGCGACGTAGATCCGTCCGTAGAGGATGACGAGGAGAACCGTGGGGACGTAGAAGGCGCCGAAGGTGGAGTACAGGGTGTAAGAGATCTGGTCCGTGTTCACCATGCACTCCGTCAGCTCCTCGTGGGCCTTGGCCTGTCGCCAGAAAAGCGGAGGCATGGAGATCGATATGGAGATAACCCACACCACCCCGACCATGACCGCCGCCCGGCGCATGGTGCGGCGCTTTGAGTACTCCAGCGCGTCCGTGATGGCCCAGTAGCGGTCCAGTGCGATCACACACAGGTGCAGGATGGAGGCTGTGCAGAAGGTGATGTCCGACGACAGCCAGATGTCACAGACAATCTGCCCCAGCGACCACGTCTTGCTGACCGTGTAGACGATGCTGATCGGCATGACTAAAATAGACACCAGCAGGTCGGTGACGGCCAGGGAGCCGATCAGGAAGTTGGCCGGTGTGTGGAGCTTCCTGGTGAGGAAGATGGTGGCGATGACGAAGGCGTTCGAGAGCACGGTGGCAAGGGTGACGAGAGCCAGCAGCGCAGACAGGCAGATCCGGAGGCCGAGTAACGTGGCCTCGCTCCAGGGTGGTGGCGTGACGGTGTCGGGAGTCTCTGTGTAGTTGCTGGTGAAGTAGTCCAGGGAGCTATTGTCCAGCTCCATGCCCCCTCCGCTCCTTTGAACCCTTTCTCCAAGGTTTCAGCCAGCCTCACCTCCTCAGCACGGCACGGAGACGGCTCTTTGGTGCCATGGCACCGGTGGTTTTGGCTGTAGGGAATGCAGGACCTTGTTTGATATTCATACCTTTAGCAAACATCTAACTCCATCCACAGCTAATGCTCCTAAGTGAAGCCGGTCAATACGTCCATTCAGCCTACCTGATATTGATTTGCCTCACTGGTGTAGCTGTTGGAGAGACAAATCCCAATTGGTATTTAGACAGGCACTCCTTTTCTGTCTTCACATGCTCTTATCTCATTTCCAACCAGCAGCCAGCTGGAAACAGCATCATCTGACCAAACCGTCAATCAAATTCGCTGCTACTCGGCTGCTATTTGTGTCTTTTAACGAAATTGGAAGAATCACAATTACATGATGTAGTCTACCAAAAAAAATCTAGTCATCCTGTGGATAATTCTTTCATATCCATAGAGCTTTTTTCAGCTGTACAAAGGTTTGCTGAGATGCAGCACCCCGAAAGCTTTTTCAGGTTCCTGGTGTCAAAATTATCCCTAGTAGTATCCATACTACATAGCTTAGGTCATGGAGCATCGTCTGCAGATTGTTCTACCTAGAGGGGACAAACGAGAAAGAGAGAAATACAAAGGTTAGCCACATTCAACTTTAGCATCATCCCCTCTCTCATTCACGTGCATGCAGAAACCCCCCACATTACCAAGTCCACTCACACAGGGGGCAATAAATGCAGATGAACATTATGTAAACCTCGACCTGAAAATGGTGCATTATGACTTGATGCCGTGACCTAACACCCACATCTCCAGCTATTGGGTTGATATAAGCCAAACAGTCAAGTCATAACCGGTTTGCTTTGCTATTAACGCTAGACTAATCATAGCAGCGCTTTACAAAGGTATCCACATACATACCTAAAAGAAATTATTAATAATAATAATAAAAATATTTCAAATGATAAATGCCATAGCAGCTGCTTTTCCTATGTAATAGTTCACAGCCAATTTCCTTTGGATTGACTATATATAATAAAAATTGCTTCACATTTGCTGTTAGTGCCCAGAAACACAAAGAGACACTGAATATCCTGCCTCCAGGTAACAGAACATATCACAGGATGGGAAGCGGACTGACTTTGAAGTACAATAAAAGAAATACAGTAAAAACTGAAATGTGGAAAAAAGGTATTAATAACTACAGAACGCAATTGCTCCCTCTAGTTCCCCCTTTATACCTTTCTTCAATGTATTATTTAAGAGCGGCGGCTTGGATACGCACCACTTAAATTTCCGAGGAAATAGAAGATATTCACATATATATTAAGATATGCGCTTTATTTATTTATAAAACATTATTCGTTCTCAACCCAAAATATAAAACTTTGTGACTTTGAGTCTTTACTGTAGGTGATAAACTCATGTGCTCTGCAAAATCTTTCAAAGCCAAAGTGGCTGAGGTTTTTTGAACAGGTGGATTTTGGTACAATTAAAACAGATATGAGAATAAATATCTACAATTTGAAACAACACAACCGTTTTGTGGCAAATCATGAACAAGCAATGGTGTTCGTTTTTTTACGGTCCACACAACCTTTTGCCGCCACATTAGGGGAGTTTCAAACTGATTTCTCTAGTATATGTTTGTTCCTGATTCAACTCTGCAAGTCCTCTCCATTAGCAAGTGTTGATTGGCAGCAAGGCTCTAAAAGGGGATTAGCGTGCCTCGGTAATTATCATGTGCCACGTTTGTTTGATGATCCATAAAGGTCATTAAAATGGGAAAAAAGATTTGCATGACTGATGAATTCCTGAGAATTCCATTTTTGTCACACATTTATACAAAATACTTTCCCTTGACTGATACAAATGTAATGTGTGTTTTTTAGTGCAGAAATGGATGAGACCCTTACATTCTGTTTTCCAGCAGAGAAAAGGGCGTATAGGGTGCTGATGGGACCAAAGACAAACACATGGTCACCATCAATAACGAGTGAGCTGCTAATCTGTGAACGTGTCCAATAACTGAAATGCCTTGTTCTCCTCATGCACCACAACCTAAAACACAAAGGAGATCTTTATCGAGGACCAACTTCCTATAAACTCCGTACGTTTAAAGAGACGCTATCAAAGCCGTTTCCTGTATAGCCCATTATGATTCGAAACCCAAATTACTTTCACATATCTCAGTCCACCATCAACATGCCAGTGTAATGGGCACACACAAGATAACCTTAATAGCACAAAGGCCATAAACGTAAATTGTAGTGGTTTTTCTTGTCCCCAGATGTCAAGGATTGTAAACGAATCACATTAACCCAAATTACATAGTAAAAGTGTATGTTTGATGTTAGCCTTAAATACAAGACATGATTTTTTCGTGCTGTTCTTTCTTTAACACGGAAGTTAAAGCATAGCACCCGAGCAGTATAGTGTTGCACTCGAATAAAGACGGCGGAGCTTGAGGGAAAAGCGTTAAAAAAGGAATATTCAACAGCAAACCAGCATAGGCTACATTTCCCCAACCTTCCAGTATTGATGCCAAAAGAGCGATCACCCCGGTGTCATCGGAATGGCAGCCTCTAAGTCATTTCCTCGCTTATTAGAAAGCTTCCTCCAGAACCCAGAAAGACACCGTACAACTGTTCTCACGTGCTGAATCGCACAACCAAGCCTCCGCAAACCCAGCGTGAAAGGTTTTAAGTCGTAAAGTTAGGACATTTACGTTTTTTTCTTTTTTTTGTTGTTGTTTACGATCCGAATTCTTTTAGAAACCAGTGGAGTAACCTCCTGCTAAAGGCTTAAGGCACTACCACATTGACTTCACCTCACATCAAGTGGAGATGCATCGGAGCATGAGCGGCTCACAGGCTCGCTTCACTGCATCAGTGGAGAGGAGATTGATGAGTGCACAGGTAGTTTGGCAATAATACTGTTCACTCCCCAAACAGTGAGCTAAGTCAGAGGATTGTTGTGGACAGGATCGACTTCTTCATTAAGTTGTCTCAACAGTTCCCCTTTTTGATAGATGACTGAATAGCTTATCTGTTTACACATCAAACACATCAAGGACGAGGCTTATCTCTCAGCGGGCTGGTTTGCAATTAGGTAATGAGGTTCATGATGGATGTATGAGAGAAAAAAGATTTCTATGAAGAACAAACCTTACCTAAACTGGGCTGACTGTCACAATACAGGGATACATCAGAGATTCAACATCATCAAATAGACAATTAGTTTGTGTGTATAATGAATTTTAATCACATAAGAATCAAGCTGACAAAGTCCCGGATGTGGAGTCGTGTACAACCACGCGGCCCAGTTTGTCCCCGTCACTACACATCCACTACAAATCCAGTTCATTCCTGTAAGGCTGGGGTCAAATCCAAGCTGATGCTCAAGCGTGTGCAGCAGCCTGCAGGCTGTTGTCCTGGGAGGAAGTGTGTTACCCTCCGAACCGCGCGGCCCTGCGAACACCGCATGGCCCCACTGGAGGAAGACTAATTGATTTAGCTCAGAGGAGGTAGAGGCGTCGTTACCTCCCATGTCAGCTCGTGTCTGCTGTTTACTCAAGCGTGCACTGAACGGTCGGTGAGCATGGATTTGCTCTGTGTGTGTGTGTGGGTGGTGAGGGGAGAGTTTACATAGATCCTGTGGGTGGTTTAGGATTGATGATGGAGAAAATGGAGGAATGCTTAAATGGAAGGAGTCATGGGAATAAACTATTGGAGCTCTGCAACGATTCAAGTTGTGAACAATTTTGAGGATGATGTCCTTCATCCTTTGTACCCAAAGCAGTTTTTTTTGGAAACATTTTTCTTTTCCATCCTTTTCTTTTGTGTCTTGAGCGACAGAGACATTTCAAAGTAGTTAATTAATACACATGCTAATTTAACACACACCCACACACTGTGTGCAGTCACAGTCTGTAGATAGTTTAGTGTTTTCAATCTACTTTAAACTGTGAGTAGATTGAAAACATCCTTCTTGTTTAAATTAGCATAATGAATGCATTTTTACAATTCAGCTTGCTCTGAACAATGGAGATACTCAATTATAAAGCTGAACTGCACCGTCTGTGGGGAAATAAAATGATAAAAAATATTGATTAGTAGGAATAGTGAAGTCATTAACTTGACTTCGGAAGTGATATCTATCAATTCACAACCTAAAGGTCAAAGTGAATATAACCAAATCATGATCAAATAAAATAAAAAAGCAGCTATTCCAGTATGCTATGCCGGATAACACACACACACATTTCATGACAGGCTAGCATGAATGGATTGCATCATACCGGCATGTCGCGCTGCAATTCAGGAAGCAGCAAATGTAATCACATTATTTCTCGATGGCTCGAGAGTTCATCTTATCTCCATTGTTTGCAGCTAGCTGGGAGCTTGGAGGGGTGGTGTTTTGTTGAAGATGCGGGGGCCGCACATGTGCAATCGCACATGCAGCACCCTCCAGCGATCCCCTTTCACACGCAAACACACACATAAGCATAACAAATAAGAAATATACATAATAATGAACTGATATATTTAATCTTCACAGGACACTGGCTCTGGAGGACAATAAAGGAGATTAAAATGCTAATGATGATATATGGGCACTCACTCCCGCACTTGGAAATTAATTGGCAGAGAGTGTGTGAAGTATCTCAAGTTACCCGGCGACACATCTGGGTAAAAAAACTCAGGACTCATTAAAAAGGCTGAGCGGGATAATCTAAGATCTTCTCTAAACCGGTGAAAACAGGAACAGATGATTGAAACGGGACAATTTAGCCTCATAGTTTAGAAATCGTGATTTTGATCTGTTACTGAAAGCCCCCGTTTGTTAACAGGTTTGGTTAGACTGTTTCCAAAGCACCTATTACAGGTCTCTTTTTGATACATCACTCCGCAGTAATACAGTCTAGTGCAAATCCAGAACACCTGAGTGGCACTTCTTTGAGACCGGGTCTAAGAATTCTGGTGCCGACCTTTTCTTTCACAGCCGGTTGTGTGCGTGTGTGTTTGTGTGTGTGTGTGTGTGTGTGTGTGTGTGTGCGCGTGAGTATGTGTTATGACAAATGAGGATCTGGTTTAAATCTGCAGAGATGATTAAAGAGCTTCTGATGAGAACATTGCTAGAGCTAAGTATGTTTTAACAAAACAAAAGATATATTTTAGGTAGTCCTGCCTGACATGTGATCTTGTGCAGCATCGCAGCAGTTGACGCATAATAAAAAATCATTAAAGAGAGTTTGCAATTGTTTAACATTTTTTGCAAAATGTACAAATTTCTGTTGATAAAAACATTCTTGTGATTTCCCACATAAAGTGTTTCAATTCCAACGCACTGTTGTCAGCATAAAGAAATCAAATTTACCCCCCACAAACCAAACCCCCCGAATAAGACTAACGCCTGGAAACTCTCTTTTTCCAGCTGAGTCACAGGCGCTGAACCGCATCCAAGTCCTTTCTTAGCAGGCCATTCTAATTCTTGTGCTTACATTTATCCACCTAACCCTGTAACCACGGTCATGTACGGCATTTGTGCGTTTATGTATTTGTTAGTCGCAACTTTGAACACGTTGGTCCAAAGTTGATCT